CGGAGGAGGAAGAAGAAGAGGAGTACTGCCGTCAAGGAGGGAACATCAGAGAGGGAAATCCTGCCTTTGATGAGTCTGCAGGTGGCCTTACCCGAGCAGGTAGTGGGCGCCCTTTCCCCTGATGAGTTAGCTAGATATAAACTAAGTCAGGGGGAGAGGGTGTCTGAAGCGCCTGCTGAGGGTGAGGATCACTTCATATTTACAGCCCATGACTCCATGGATGAGTTTTGATGCAATTAACACTGCCAATGAGGCATTTATTTGATGGACATTTTGAGTCAATAGACTCCACATTTGTTTTTTTTAGGTTCGGGTCGAACCTATTTTTAAGGGGGGAGTGATGTGACGACCGGCGATCAAAAGGTGGTAAACCCTCGATCTTTTCCGATCGCCGGGCGTCAGATTATCCCTTCCGATTGTATATTATATTAGTTAGAGTTAGTCTAGTGTATATATTTACCTTGTATTTTGAGAAATTCCAGTAACTTTCATATTTTCCTTCGTGTTTTGTTTATACGGCCATATTGAAAATGGCGGAATCAAGTATTTTACTTTTCCAGTATTTTCGTTATGGCCTTTACAATATTTCACTTATTAAATCAATATTTTGTATTATTGTATCATTTGTATTTTGTATGGCAATATGTTGCCGATAAGAATGTACTTTTTTAAGTCAATTTGTATTTGTTTTATTTAGTAATTTCGTTTAACCATTTCCTGAATTTAGTTTGGGATTACAACCCCTGTATTATCATAGTGGCACACTCAGTGCAGGTGCGCACGCACTTTTATTACTTTAAATTTGGCCCTATTCAAAACTTTGAATAGGCGATTAGTCTTAGTCTGGAGTGTAGTACCCTAGTAGTCATTAGATTTAGATTATCCCCCAGGATCAAAGGGATGATTCTTAGATAATCCTTAGTTAGAAGAATCATCTCTTTGTTTGGTGTCTGGTCCCAGGGCCAGGTACCACACTAGATTGGTAAAAAGTGGTATATCTGTCTGATTTTGTTGAAGCCATTACACTTTTCGTCAAGACCTGGAACAGCCAACATCAACTGCAACCTTTTGGACTCTGTCATTTTGAATCATCTGAACTTTTATTCTAACTTATACTTTGAAATTTTAACAGTATTTAACTTGGAAATCTTAACAGTATTTTACTTTTGGACAACACTTTGGATCGCTTTACTTTTGGATATTCTATACTATGGCTTCAACAAGGACACATGTAGACGAACAATGGGTAAGCCACTTTTAATTAATCTAGTGCCTGACTTTTAACTTTTATCATATTGTATTTGTGCTTAGTATAACGTAATTGTATTTTGAACTTTGTTTATTTTATTCAAATAGATCTGTTAAAGCTTACTTGATTTGTTTCTTGATTTATTACTATATAGTTTTATACAGTTGTGTTTATCAGTACACCTCATATCCATTCAACTTTAACCCCCGTTCACACAAGATTACCTTCATCTTAGACACACCTCAATTCATTTAACTTCCACGCTGCCATTTGTTTAAATTCACCTTTTTCATTCTATTTTACCCAGTTCCACACTACCATTTATTGTTGTTGTTATCACGCTACCAATTGCTATTTTTGTATTTTCCCCCATCCACTGACGACCTTTGATTTTGTTTTAATTAAATCCGTTCCCATTTATTGTTATTGTTTAATTATTACCCCAGGTCGTCACATTATTATGTCTTTATATATAAAAGAGATCCTTACATATATTGTAATTTAAGCTTTTAAATGTGTTAATTGATGTTTTAGTGTAGCATTCTTGTATATGTATGTTAAAAGGTATTGCCATGGTGTCACCAACTGACATAATTATATATATTATATATTCTAAATCACCAACTGGTTGGAAAGAATATATATACAGCTTAAGGATAGAAATCAAAAATATTTGTTATCAGTTTTTCTAATATAATTCTAATATAAAATATATTAAAAAAATTTGCCCTTTGTGTGACAAAAGAATTGTAGGCCTATTTTCTATTTACACCACAAAACTACCATATGCTGTATACTGTTACTCTTCTTAATTTGGCAAATTCAGCAAAAATTGGCGAACAAATTCACCAAATTAAAACAAGCTCTAAATTAAGAAGGGTAACAGTAAATACTGTAAAGTTTATATTGTATAAAAATTGCTGATATTTCCATGATATATTCTTTATTAGATATTATTGGTGCTTACTGTTTATGACATCAAACATGAATAAATATATGAAACATTTTACATTAGTCATCTGTTTTGTTTCAATTATTTTCTGATTTTGTATTTACCCATTCAGGATGTTATAAATGGTCTTCAATTATTGACATTTTCTATATTGACAATATATTTAATTTGTAGAAATGCATTTAATTTCATTGTAAACTTTGACGATTTTAAAGAATATTTAACCAGGACATTTTACATTTGTACCAGAAGTCATATATTAGTAATCTAAACAGTAATATTCCTTCTTGAATTCATTCAAGGTTTCAATTTTTACTGCTAAACGAGAGCTTAATTCTCCAAGATTTGATTTACTCCAAATACAAGTACAATGAGCATGTCAACAAGTTCATTCTTTGGACATGAAGATGTACTGTACTTTATCAGGGATAGACATCATTATTCGATATGAAAACTATGTGGGAGGTCACAAGATTGGACTTGGTCATGTCTAATGCAAATGAACTAATCAAGAATTACATATTTTTGTATACATTCATCCATGGATGCTATTTATCCTTTGGGAAAGTAATACTAGCATTAATTGAATATTTTCACAGTCATTTCAATATTACATCCCAAAAGCAGAGAATAAGTGACAAAATGTTATGGCAACATTATTTAGTGATTGTAACGATTGTCACACTTGTTTATGATACACAGCCACATTTTAGTGGTTGTATACCCTTTACTGGTGCTCGTTTTATGGATAACATCTCTGAGCACAGTAAGCAGCTAACAATGATCAGTCATCCTTCTAGTGTAGTAAGGATATACTGTTCTAATATATTATTTTAAGAGACTTTATGTATAGAGTGCTTTACTCCAGACTCTGTTAAGTCTTTAATGAAGTCATTGTGCACAGCCTATCCACATTTTCTGGCTTATTATTAAAAGATGTATATAACTATCAATAAATGATAATAATAGTGTATAATGCTTTTAAGAAATAAGCCCAAAAATGGTAATGCTATTGTCATTGAATTAAGTGCTCCCTCGCTATTACACTGAACGAAAAGTTCCGAAAATCACTAAAAGAAGGGGTCATTGTAACAGCTCCCATTCCTTCAATATTTTATCAATTTCTGTTTTCTTCACATGCAGTGGCGTAGGAACAATGTACGCCAAAACGCCAGTGCGTAGTGTTGAAAAGTGAGAATAAAAAGGCTTATTAATTTTCCTATGTTCTTTATTCATATTTTCTCATTGTATTGTGCAAAAGTAATCTCGAGCACACTAGCCTAAAGAAATGTTTTGTGGATACCATATGATATGCTCTTTTTTCAATAGTACTCTTTTGCATGGTTTTTGTGCCTGTTATTTTTCTAATCTGGGCCACAGATAAATTACACTTTTTGAAAAATAAAATATTTGTTTCTATAGTTCTAATACTGTAGAAAATGCAAAGTAACATGCTTTATTTCATGATAATCGAGACACTATTGACTATCTTCGCCAAATATTCGTGATTCGCGTTCTCTTCACGAATTTGAGAAAAACAGTTTTTTTCAAAAACTACTTGATGAATACCTTTGCAATTTTTTTGCGCATGTTCTGTAATGTATATGCAAACTGTGGTATCATTTAATTATAATGATTAACCTCTTTAAAAGAGATTTTTTTTTATTCTCCCCTACTCCCAATTTTTCAACTTCACTATATCGATTTATATTCCGTTGCTAGGCAACATCATAGACAGAAATTATAGTTAAGTCAGCAATTATCTATTTTCTTACTAAATCACCAATTGTTATTGGTAATACTTCTTTAAATATGAATGTTAAAGACAAAAACAACTTGAAAATGTTGATTATTCAAATACGCGTTCCATCGATTTCAGTTCTAGAAAAGCTATTACTTAGATTTTTATTTCATTTGAAAAATAATAGATTATTGTTTTAGGAAATATAACATTTTTGGCACCCCTAAGTCACGTTGACCTCGATTTGACCTTTGTGGTGGGAAGTTTATTTGGTCTTGCGAATTAGTGTTATAAAAAAGGTTGCAGACATTAGGGTTAATTGTTTCATTGATCACGAATGCGTTTCTTTAAATCAATTGATCAAGCTAGATTTTTTAATCTGTACATGTCGTATTGCACGTTACACGATGGAATCAGACAATAATATCTCAATTCAATTATTCGAAAATGATTAAAAATCTCTCATTGTTATTTGGAAATTGATCGTCTATATCGTTCGAGACATAAGAAAAGTGAGAATGATTTGTGATTTTCCATGGTGATTTTAAATGATGAAAATCATTCGAACATTTTTTAAAAGCACATTAAAGGGGCATCAAGGATTTTAAGCTTGCATATAAAATCGAAACGCCAACCTATACGTATGACCAATCGCCCATACAAATGCATCGCTTAAACATTTCCGTTCACATTTAGGTTATAAAAACATTGCATTCTATTGCCATAAAATGACGTTTAACGAGCATAAAATAGGCGTTTTGATATAGAAGATTTGACACAATTGTTTCATGGTTTTGGCGGGATTTTTTGGCGTAGTGTTGAATTTACACCTTCCTACGCCCCTGACATGGAATGAAAAATGATCATCCACTTCAAATGTGTAATTAAAAATCAGTATTATATATACACAGCATGGTCCTTTATGTTTTTCACACCTTGACAAAACATTAATACAGCATGAATAGTTATATACAACCTTTAAGTTTATCAATAAATCCCCGGTAATTGTAAAACACTTGAAAGCTTTTTCGTCCACGCAATGCATTCTGGGTTATGTTGGCAATGACGTCACCGGAAAACACATCCAAACATTTTTTGACAAGACTAGAAACCTGGCTTAATTTGAGTAATATCTATTGATTGATTCAAACAAATAATATCACAATGTCAGATTCAGAAGATGATACGCCTGACAAACAACTCAAGATAATTATAATGGGCGATGGTGCATCAGGAAAAGTAAGAATCGTATTTCACTTAGAGTATTTTTTTTGTTCATTTTTTTCACTTGCCAGTCCTGTGACTTTGATTTAGATGTTTGACTTTGATTTGTTTTATGTTCTACATGATCTATCTTGAGCCTTACTTAGGTCCTTATAACTCGGACATTGAATAAGTTGTTGAACTTCATGACTTTCCACTTACATGCACAGATTTGCAGAATATTGACATAGATGAGATGAGGGACCTCTTTCAAGAGCCTACATGTATCTTATGTCTCTAAAAAGTATTATTGGTTTTCAAGATTTTATTCACTCAGTGATAATTCTTGAGAAATGGACCCTTCCACCATTTTTCGTTTATAATGAAACCCGCTACATGTAGGGCAAAGGGGTACATAACGTTGATATGTGAGGTAATGTTGATCTGAGAAATGGGGTAACTTCGTCAATTACTCTTTAGAAATTAGAAAAACATAGTTTCCCCCAAGATTCGAAATTAGAGCAAAACAAAGTGTCAAAGTTACCCATCCGTCGAAGTTACAGGTATCTCAAATTGAAATGAAATGCATCGACTTTATACCCTTTTGCCCTACACACAAACCAAAACTCTTTGGCATCATCATGGAAGGGTGTGTGCTCCCACTGTTGCGTTGAAGAACTGTACCAAAGACAACTCTAACTAGTGCCAGACTTTCATCAGAATTTCTTAGATAAGTGCATATACCACAAGGCCATACTTGCAACATTTTATTGGTATGTCAAATAAAGGTTTCTTGAGTTTGATCAGTCAGCTGAGTTCACAGTTTTACATGTCAGCTCATGCCATTAACCCACCACAGGTGTTGAATGAAATGTTTCCAGTTTGATTGGTCAACTGGATTGATACTTGTATGATTTTGGTTTATGGGTATGTACATGTACCATGTTGATTCACAAGGTTTAAGTTGTTCCTGTCTCTAGACCCAGTGGAAAGCGACAATGTACATGTACATCAATTAATCATTAATTAATCATTCAATGAATTAATCGATACCAGGGTGTCCCCAGGATTTTCCAAAGGGTATAATCACTGTACTACTACATCTAAAAAGGAAAAATAGTCTCCATCATCACTAGGGGTGAGACGACAACCCGATGAGTCGAGGACTCGCGGGTTTGGGGCTTCGAGTCGAGTCGAATCGAGTCGAAGTTGATGAATCGAATCATTTTCGAGTTGAGAAAAAATTCGAAAAAATAAAAAAATTCAGAAAAATACTGTCAATATGCATGTTTTTACTCGATATTGCGTTGAATATATAAGTTTCAATGACTTGGATATGCTTGTATTAAATTATTATATTGTATGTACACATAAATGAAAGAATATATGTAATAAAATCAGAATAAACTTGCGACGAATTGTGTTTGTTTATATTTCCGGCTTTCCACCATTGACGCATTAAAAATACGAACGGTCAAAAGCGATGTTGTTCGCACTTCGCGCGACTCGAAACGGATTCGAAACTCGAATCGTCATTTTCTGACTCGAATCGGATTCGACTCGAATCGGATTTTTTCGACTCGTCTCACCCCTAATCATCACATACTGTAGCTTGAACCTGAAGCTTCTCCACCTCTTGGCTCTCCGAGTCTAAAAATACTTGGGAAAAGTAACTCAAAACGAATCGACTCTAAAGGGGGTGCACACTGCACTTGCACCAAACACGCCTACCAGTTGGATGCCTATAGATACTGAAATGAAGATAAGCACAATTTCATGCATTTGTTCGAGCAGAGGTCTGAACTTGTTTCTAATTTTGTTGCTTCTTTAATTTAGTTTGAGAAGAGTCTAGATCTTGATGATGAACAAATCTTTCCTATATAATCCCCTAAGAACATTTTTAAGACTAATCAAATACATACTACCTTTAATTTTATTTTCAGACTTCCATCGCCACTCGTTATTCACAAGAGCAATTTGGTAAACAATACAAACAAACATTAGGATTGGATTTTTTCTTAAAAAGAATTGTGTTGCCAGGTAAAAATATTTTCTTCATGTTATGGATAACAAAGAATGTCTTCATTCACTTCAATTTTAATTTTTATTTCTAAACATGTAATACAACATGTATGTAAGAGCCAAGCCATGAGAAAATAGATATTCAGTATACATAAAGAAATGAATGCAAATTCAAAAAAGGATATCAGTCTCTATATATCATTCATCCCGTCCCAATACAGAATTTTTCAAGCATAATATATCCTGTATTGCACTTCAAATTATTTAATCAATTATCATTAACCATATCCTGATTCATTTTTTAATTGATTTATTCTTTTCAGGAAACATTAATGTGGCCTTACAGGTATGGGATATTGGAGGTCAAACTTTGGGAGGTGCAATGTTAGATAAATACATATATGGAGCAAATGTAAGTATACCCCTGTTGAAACATGAAATAGAAATAAATAGTGAAGTAAATGTATGTTTAAGATTTAAAAAGTCATGAAATTAAATAAAAATTGTTAGTTGGAGGGAACAAATTTGATAAATCTACATGGGGAGGTGCAATTCATGTTAATTTATTTATACATCAACTGCTAGATTCTGACACGTATGGCAAAATTAATATTTAGTTTGATGGAAAAATAACCCCTGAATTTATATGGTACAGTATGTATGTATCCAACAATATTTCTGAAAGTAATTTAATTGTTTTGGCTCACCTTGAGGAATGTTATGAGCCAAGAAGACAGAAAAGACAATTTTAAAGAAGTTGCTCGCTGTTTAATACTCCCTCTAAGTGTATGCCAGAAAATGTTGGAATGATAATTATTTTTTTCAAACCTGATGGTGATGATCAGAATGTTATTTTTGTTTTGCGATTGTTCTTGGAAATACACAATGGAACTAATTTGGGTTATTGAATAAACATGCTCCCTCTTTTGCCTTCAGGGGATACTTCTAGTCTATGATATCACCAATTACTCTAGTTTTGAGAACTTGGATGACTGGATCACTCAAGTGAAAAGTGTTTGTAAAAGTGAAGAGAAACCTCCACATATGGCCCTTGTAGGAAACAAAGGTAAGGCATACAATTTTCTGTTAATTTCCTTTTATTTTTTCATAATAATCATACTTTATAATTGACAGTGAATCTGTGACATATGAAATTGCAAAAAAATATTTAGGTGTGGTCTTGTTATGTCTATTAGTGTTCAAGTTCTGACAAATCAGTCCCATGTTAGATTTAAGTTAATATTAATGATAAATAGATGTCACCCTTATATATGTTATGTTATAATGAGTGAATCCGGCCATATCAAATGCCACCAGTTAGTAATAGACAGTTTGGCACAATGGCACTTTTAATTACATTAGGCCAATCCCTTAGATCTTGTATTACTGTCATCCAGTTATCTATCAACCCTTAAATTTTGTGTTATTTTATTTTGATAAGTTCAGATACCTTAAAACTTTACAAGCATTACTTTCACTTGTTCAGTGATTCATTTGATAATATATGGGTGAAGTCACTGCATAACAAACCATATATGCAATCTGGGTCTTGAACAAGAATATCTCCATTGTATATCTATTAGTATTAGTGTTTAGAGAAAGAACCATTGTTATTTCAGTTGACTTGGAGCACATGCGCACTGTTAAGATGGATAAACATCAGAAGTTTGCTCAAGAACATAACATGTCATCTCATTTTGTATCAGCTAAAACAGGAGATTCGGTAAGAAACAATTTCTGTTTTACAGAGTTTGCATGAGAAAGGGTTAACCATTTAGGAAGAGTGAAAATCAAAATTAGGCCACAGGCCCGTAGCCAGGATTTGCCAAGGGGGGTTCAGTTTTCAAAAGTTCGGCCAAGGGGGTTTGCCCGAACCCTGCGAACCCCCCCCCCCCTCGCTACAGGCCTGGGTCATCTCAGCCCCATAGCCAGGAAGCCAGTCCTACCTCTGGAAATAATTCTTCAACGTTGCCGCATATTTTGGCAAAATTGGCTTTTACACAAAGTTGGCAATTTCAAACCCTTTTCCATTGAGAATTAATCGAAATGTGGTTGACATTTTGATGAATGTTGACTGCAGGCCTGGCTTGCATCAAATCGCCCCTTTCCTGACCAAACAGCTAAAACACAGACAGAATCCTAGATTTTTGATTGTCTCCCTCAATGGTATTTCTGATTTGGCATATTTGCACTGTATGAACAAGTAACCATCTAATCATTTTCTTCAAATTTATTCACATCTATCACATCTTCACATCTATTACAATTCATGGATATTGAACTCACTCTTGTGCTTGAAATGTTCAATAAGCTATTTTTTCTAAAAATATACTGTAAGTGATATATAAACATCTTTTTCTGTATAAAATATAAAATTATTCATTCTCCATTCTTTGGGTGCATGTTGTTTTAAAGCATATAACCCAAACATATTATAGTAAGTCCAAATGTTCAGACAGCTGTTAAATCTTTATTTCTTATCGGCCAAACAGCATGGCAAATCCCCAAACTCTAAGATATTCTATAAATATTTCCTAATTCTGAAACATTCTGGAAATACGCTTTAATGATGAATGATAGAAGTGTTTGATTATATATTAAATGCTAGGGGATCATGGGAGCCAATCTCCCTTGATATTGGTTAAATTGATGGACGTTTTTACATCTTATATATCATAAATATCATAACAATAAAATACCATATATCCAATATTATATTTTATACATAAATTCAATTTTAGATCTGCTTTATAAATATACAACAAAAATAGTATTATGTATTCGTCTATCTGATGACATAAATGTTCACATGAAAATATTGTGCAATCATTAAAATATTGTGCAATCATTAAAAAGATTGTGCAATCATTAAAAGATGTGCATGTACATAAATGCAATATAAAAAAATAGGACTTTAAAATTATTAAATAAATGTAGTTTGATTTGTATAATTATCTGAATAAATATGTTGATTATTATAATTATATTATGATCCTTCAAATCGATTAGTTCTTATAATTTATGCAATAAATGTCAAATTGAGGAATGAATTATTATGTTCGACTGAAAATCAACTCTGATTTACTATTTACCCTTTTGTAAAATGTGACATTTTACACCTTTTCAAACATCCTTTTACGATAACAAGGAAGTATTATTTATATAAATCACACATATTCTAAGAACACGTGAAGTGAAATCAATGACTTGCTTTGTTTACAAATAGGAGAGTATTGGCGTGAAATATTTTTACTTTTAGGTTTCGTAGAAAAATAACCTCTACTTAAATATGATTTATTGTTGTTTTACACTCCTCAAGCTCCTCAAGAATACTCTTAACTTATGTGATTTACATTTATTTGTGCTGTTCAAATAATTTAAACTCAAAGAAGTAATAGGGTAGTCGCAACAAAAACAACGCTATAAGTCTCTGTCATTATTTTGCTACTTGAGCTTTGAGTGGTTGCTAGTTGTGGTGTCGCTGTCACTGATGTCATTTCCGGGTTGTCCTTCAAGAAGCTCTTGACGATCTCTAGGGTGCCATTGTTAGGGGCTGGGTTCAGTCCTAAGAGTTCTGTCATCAGAGGGTACAAATCGACTGACTTGAATGGTTCAGCCACAAAGTCCTCTTTGATGTTTGGTCCTCGTGCAATGAAGAATGGCTTCATTGACATGAGATTGTTGTCCCATCCATGCATCCCGAGAACATTCCTGATCCAGGATTCATCCTGTAAACATAAACATATCTATTTATACAGTAGTAGCTGTAAGCAGGGGAATCCCCCCTCATCCCTGGCCAAAAATTCTTTCAAAATCCCCATTCTTATCATTTTTTAAGTGATTTTGGGCCAAATTTGTCTAATGTGAACCCCCTGGAATTTTTTGAAAAGTGATCCCCTGGCAAAAGCAGGCTACAACAAGCCTGGTCAACATATTTTCATACAGCATCGTAGGTTATGTACATTATCTGAACAGAAAGTCTGAATAGAAATCTACAGCGTGTTACAGTGAGTGAACCACAATTTTATTTATGTGCTATCTGTTTCACCTCTTTTTGTCACCTATAGGTGAGGACATCTAATAGAGCTTGTGTTCTTGTTTACTTACTGGTACAACCTGCCAGCCTTCATCACATACTAGGAGCATGGGTAGAATTCTATGGTGGTTCTTGTAGTGCCATTCTTCTGGTATGTCCTCTTTCTTGTATGCTGTCATCTTAGGATGGGCATCTGGAAGTGATGACAGTAAACAATGAACGTTGAAAAAAGGCAGTTTGAAATGTCTGAATGTAGTTATTTGTGCATTCTAGCTCAGATATTGAAGCTCTGTGAAGATTTAGTCTATTAATCTTTTTTCCTATTTTTGAATCTTAAAAGAAGATTCCAATGAGAGGTTAATGAGGGTTAACACAATATGTGCTTGTGAACGAAAATTATATGGAGGAAAACTGTTTCTTGGAAATTCACAAAAATGATAAGGAGTGTGGAAGTTGCTCTAATATTGCTGACAACAACAGAATTGTTGGGAAGGCGAAACAAATAAAATTGATTATTACCTTTAAGGATATTGTAGACAGCATCTTCCATGCCAGCTTTTGGAATGAAGTTCATGGCTGCCCCATAGTTGGCAATCTTCTCTATATGTGTACTTATGTTGACGTACTTGCTCAAGTCTATATTCATGCTACGGTTGGTGTAGGCCATGCCATGATCCGACACCAATATGATATTAGTTGAATCCAGTAGGTCATTCTGTCGTAGTTTGTCCAGAATCTTCCCCATTATTTCATCCATGTATTTCACAGCTTCAATGACCTCATTGGATTCTGGCCCAAAATCATGTCCCTGCTTATCAGGCTCGTTGAAATAAAGGGTTGCAAAGTTAATCCCTTCTTTCAGCCAATTAACAGCTGTATCAATTCTGTCATCAAATGGGATTGTTTTATTATAGGGAAAGTAATACTTTGGTAGTACACCATGAATTGGAACATCAGAGCCTGGCCAGAAAAAGGTGGCGCTAGTTTTGTTTTGTTTCATGACGGTGGTCCATATAGGTTCACCACCATCCCACCACTTGGGTTCGACATTACCCATACCAAAGCTTGTGTTGTCAAGGGGATCAAACATATAGTTACTGACCATACCATTGCTCTCCGAGTAGAGACCTGAAGTAAAAATGAAATAAGGTTCTTCAGTTTGGGGTTTTCACATTTCAAGGAATTAACATGGGAGTGAAAACCCTGTCAGAATTTGAGGTGTGGATTGATGTAAATGCATTTGAATGAAAATCAAATTCTGAGAAGGTGAAGAATAATACTTCCTTGTTGTACAACAGCATTTATTTTCATTTTCGAGGCTGCTTTTTGATATATTTCTCAGTAAAAAATATAACTCTAATTTGGTATTTTTACTAATATTTCTTGTTTAAATTTCTTCTTATTTCCTATTGAGGAATATGGATCAATTAATTCCCCAAATCTCAGTTCTTGGAAACCCATGTAAGACAATCTAAAGGAAGATTTGTTTTTCCTGAGAGGATCCACATATGAAAAGGTCATGGATTTGATTGTGGCAGAGGTCATAAATTGAAATGATCGGAATGTAACTGGTGCAGGATATGTATGTATATAAGGGTTAATCTATATTAATATTTCCCAGAATAAAGGAAGATATGCGGATTTTGCATATTTTAATCGAATAATATCGATGACTCCCCAAAACATTTTAACAAAGTACATCCACTTCATAAAATAATGATTCATGTGACTGTTCTGAGAAATTAGACAAAAATTGTTGATATATATCAAAAATTGTTGATATATCATTTGATGGACAAGATTTGCATGTAAAAGATCAAGATCTAAGAAACCATTTGCCTTAAATGACGAGATTGGGAAAAGTAGAGGAAGATGTAAAATCACCTACATTAGCACCAAAGGAACTTTTTATAGATTTTGAGAAGGTACTCATAGAAAAATTTGAGAAATTCTAGAATATCTTGTGTATCAAACATGACTGTAAAATGGGAAGATTTCAAAAGCTCAATTTTAGCTCGTTTATTGCTTATTAAGATATGTTTAATGAAACGAAATCCTTAAAACACGATATGTTGAGATGAATAATCTTTAATTATAGTCACTCTGAATCTAAAAGTTTGCCTTTAGAGCCTTATAAGCACAATTAAATGATTACCCATCTGAAATAAATCATACATTTATCCCAGGATCGTTTCAGCATAATCAAAGATCTGGTACATAGAGGATGATATTGTTGGATCCTAAAAACCATCACATTCTGATAAAGATTTGAATTTCATTTTTTTTTGTTTTGAATCGTTGAATGGATTACTGTTAAAACTTTTGTTTATCTCCGGCAAAATTCCAAGACAGTTTACAATCATATCCTCTGAAATTTGACACCAGTTATAACCGTACTCCCAAAAATTTGAAGATGCTGCATTTCTAGGTAGAGAAGGCTAATTCATTTGATTATGAGTATCTAGTTTTAGTATACTGTAAATTGCTTTAATTTGGCGGATTTACCCATCAGTAAAATTGCTTTTGTTTTTTCAAAAATCACACAAGGAAGAGTCACTGGATGAAAAATTTTCGCCCAGGAATTCTTAGCAATTTATTAAAAATATTAAGAGACTTAATTTGGCGGTTGTCATCAATCCGCCAAATCAGCAAAATTAAAACACCTGTCAAATTAAATCTCAGTACAGTATATATGTACAATATGTAACAAATTATACAAAATTATGTTTTGTTAGTCAAAAAAGGATTTATGACTTCCAATCTGTTATAAACAAGTGTTAAGGACTCAAGGAACAATGTTGTACTTACCTTATCTGTTTACAATAACAATAACAAAAATTGGAGACACTCAGATCTTCAGAACCAGTAACTTACTCATTTACAATGGATCCCCTTCACCCCTGTGATATTGGAATTATTTAAATAAAGAAATAAAACAAAAGTCAATCAAAAAGCCTTGCTCAATGAAATAGAAGAATTGACAAACTGAGATTGAATACAATTTCTATGGATTTGTGACTTATTATTCATATGATCTCAAATTCAAAATATCTACTTATTAAACTATTATAGGAGCCCATCATAATAAATATATGAAATTGAATAGTAGTTTTATGATAATCTAGTCTTTTCAATTTTCATTCAATGAATGACATGGCTTTTCATTTGTATTGATAAAAATGCAAACCCATCTGGGATAAGTGCAGTTTTGAAGCAAATGTTCTGTTAAATACATATATACTAAATATGGTACATGATAATACATTTTTTTTATTGAGAATACCTTACCTGTGGACATTGAATAATGTGTCGGAAAAGTCAGAGTTATAAATGTGTTGTTGATGTATGGAGCATGGGTTCCCGTACTCTTCATATAACCAAAGTTTGTAAGGTTAGATATGGTATCCAAATAATCATATCTAAACCCATCCATGGATATCAGCAAAACTCTCTCAGTATAGGCTCCATAACAAATACTGACTACTCCTAATGTCAGAATCAAACTTGTAATGTTGATCATGATTGTCACACCCAGGCTCCTTGCAATGTCTCTTGTTGAATTTTTCCTTCTTTATAAGCTCAGATAAAAGGTCATCCCGTGGTTTTGTCTGGAATAAAACTAGAAAACAGCCATGGAGTAGAATATCCCACCGAACAAAACATGTTTGATAAATAGTGGCCATCTTGAAAATAGTGGCCATCTTGAAAAATTCTTCTTTAAGAGAGCTATCTAGGTATCAGCATATAAAATTTGAACTAAATTGATCCGTTGGTATTTGAGTTATCAAAGATAATGTTTTTCTACAAAAAATGGTAGCCATTTTCTAGCTGCCATCTTGAAAATTTCTTCTAGAGCAAAGCATCTTGTCCCTGGGCATCAGCATGTCAAACTTGAACCAAATCAGTTAACTGGTATTTGGGTTATCCAAAATTACATTTTTAAAGACAAATGGTGGCCATTTTCGCGGGATTTCGCGGGACATTTAAGGGATTTGCATGATTGCGCTAATAGGTCTAATTTTGATCTATTTTGCGGGACCATTCGAGGGACAAACACGACATTTGCGGGAAAGTGAACAGGGTAACCACCAAAGACTTCATAGAGGGACAGATTTTTTTTAGACGAAGTGCCCTAAATTCGCGAGATTTTGCGGGACATCCACCTAAATTTGTGGGATGTCGCAGGACATTCAAGGGATTTGCATGATGGGGGCTTAATGTAAAAGTACTCAAATCAAACTTTCAGATACTGATTTATCAAATATAATGCACTTAACTTAAGTAAACGTCAACACAATTCCACACAATACGCATAAAAATATTATTAAACTATCAAAAAACCACACTTTAGGTGTGAGTACCATAATCCAACACGAAATTCAAAAATTCTGAACAATACTTTGCACTTATGGCGTTCGTGACCAACTATGAAACAGTTACCCCCCATAGTGTTATATATTGAAATGTACCTATTCATGTAGGGGTTCGTTTCAATCAAATTATAGGAAGTCAGGTTTCTTTTTGAGATATCAGTGTCCATTTATTGGAACTCGCGTTTGCTAACATTCGCTCAGTTTCGAGATGAAGGCCGTGACACGCGTAGTAAAAAGGCCAACGTCGGAACCATTCGTGACATATATCCCTATTTTCATAATTAAAATTGCACTCTTCCTCTTTATTTTGATACCAAAGAAACGCATACCAGGTACTTGAGAAGCCAACTATGGTTTTATTTGGATCAAAATCACAGTTTTATAAATGGACTATATGCTCTTTCCAAAAGCAGTCTTCTGATGCACTGGGAGTTTGGCAGCACTTTTCAAATTAGGTAAACTTTACTCCTTAAAAGCGCAAAAACTTAGCTTCTTATATCATGAGAAAATTGACCAGCTTTGTGAAAATATCAAAAATACAGTTATTTTGGCTGTTCCATCTGTCTGCCTCCTATTTATACCCCATGTCCCTCTTTAAGCCAAATTTTCAAAAAATGGGCAAAATTTGATTTTAGGGGCCAAAAATTTTTTTTAAATTTTTTACTGACTCTAAATTTGCTTCTGGATCTGCCACTGCCATCTACTGGTATTTGAGTTATTGAAGATCACATTTTTTACAGAAAATGGTGGCTATTTTGAATTGAACGAACATATTGAAAATTCCTTCTTGAGCAGAGGTCCTACACCCGTGAGGCATAATCAAATCCATCAAGCAGTATTTGAGTTATCGCCTAGACAGTTGAATGGACGGATGGACAGACGAACGAACAAACGAATGGCTTCTCTATATCCCTATGAACTTCGTTTGGTGGGATAATTAATTTCTTTGAATTTGTTCGCACATTAAATAAAATTCAACCGAATACTTAGAATAGTCCTTAGGTTCTTGAATCCTCTTCCTGGTGATTTATGATACTACCTAACCAATTGATTTGTACATTTTACCAAATAAAAATGAAATTGAATTCTTGGTCCTTTCGGAATATTGGCCTAAATCATTTAGTTAAAAAAATATTGCCTGATACTTTTAGATATAATTTTAATCCTCTACAGAGGTTATTAACTTCATTTTCTGAAGTCAGATATTGACACTTACAATAAACATCATCTTATTGATTGTAAAAACATTGAGTTTACATACAATGAAAGTGTGGCTTCTATGAATTTTACATAGACTGTATATAATATATAATTGACGTGTTTGTTTGTATTAAACCTCTTACCTGTTTGAAATTTTAACACGAGCTGATTGGCTCTGTTGGGTATACAGTATTAGAATATACGATACTACTTATTACAATTCCTACAAAGATTGATAGATATAGCGAAGCCCTCCGTTTGTTTGTCAGTCAGTTAGCCAATCTATCTGTCTCCAGTGTGAGCCTTTTTGTGTCCCAATCGAGGATATTAAGAGTAGATGGTAAAAATTATATTATGACATATTTCAGATTCATGAAATAACTCAGGGTTAAGAATATTTTGTTTATTGGGTTTTGCCACTCCGTGTAGTTGCCATTTCTTGTTCTACCATGTATTAAGTCTATGTGTGTCACATGTGATGCTTATGTTACTAGATAAAGATAAAGCATGAGTTCTATTAGAAACAGCTATAAGGTGATGTACTTTGTACTAATACTATCTATTCTAGACCATTCGTTAATTTATGTAAATATTACGAAAGGATACGGCTACACCAAGATACTTAACATCCAATTGAACTCAATTAGATATTTAAAAATAGACTAATTTTAAAAAGTTCATGAATCAAACATTGGAATTGTTCAAAGTTGAAATCTTGTCTCAGAACCAGAGTTTCTAAATACATTTACATGAACACCAATGGGACAAGATGTATATGTTCATTTGTTAAGTTTTCTAGGTTTTGGGAAACAATACAAGACATGATTTAATTAGAAGTAATAAAGTGGTGAGAAGCACAGTAACACAAATTTTTCTGTGTTTCCAAAAAAATAGTGATCATATATCAAGTATCATTTTCCTCAGACTTTCTATCCCTTTGAATTTCACTGATGAATGTAGATTCTCAATTCACCAAACAAAAATTTCCAGATGGCATATTGTTATCAATTATTATGTAATCTCACATGTACACATTGTTTGCTTCTAGGTGAGCCTATGTTTCCAGAAGGTTGCTGCTGAAATCTTGGGGATCAAACTGACCAGACCAGAGTTGGAGCAGCATCAGCGTGTAGTTAAAGCAGAGATAGTTCAATATAACCAGAGTGATGTTCCACCTAAACAACCAGTAACAAATCAGACTAAGAAAAGTGCTATGTGTTCCTTACAGTGAAGAGGGGGAATACCCCAGAATTCCTTGATGAAACTATATCCTCTGTTGGTACATATCTACATAGAGGTTCATTAGGAATTGTGGGGTAATTCCTTGTCTTCTTATAGTAAGACTATATTTGATGTGGAATATAAGATCTGATATCAGATCACAGTGCCGTCCTTAGGGGTCATCTAAAAACTTCTGCACAAAATTCTCCATTCAATCTGTTTACTGCTTGACCACCCACCGACCATTGTTAACAAATTAGACTATTTGGAAAAGTGAATTGGTTTTGTAGAATTTCCTGTGAAACATATATGAAGGAGTCATGAAGTTACATATCTCAGATCTGGGTGAAATGGGAGAGATATTATAAACATATGTATGTCTTTAAAAACTATTCAGTATAAGTGACAACCAAGAATGTGAATATCTAGCCCAAAATGGTGAACAATGCTGACCTGGTCCCTGAAAAACATTATTCAAACTACCGATATTATCCTAAACATTTTGCTAAGATTAAATTATTATGATCGGTAATGCCCCTCTGTATCTTAAATGATCAATAATGTACCTCTGTTTTTGAAATTCCCACCTTAATCAAAAGAGTCAAATACTAGTTTATAGTTATGCTACTTATAAAATAATAACATATTTCCAAACATTCTCGTAAGTGACCAAAATATAATTAAATCAAATTTTACCGTTATGATCCATTAAAATGTTTCATTGTGTAAAGTGGAACTTGAAATATTGAGTAGGCCTCTATAGATCAGGTAGAACCTGTGAGTACCTACTTATGTTAACATGTTTCTCTTCAGATTTGTAAACGACACAAATATAAATAGTAATAAGGAAATCCTTTATTCTGAGAATTTTAAAAGCACATCATACCTTACAAAAAATTATTTTATAATATTCAAAATGGTAAGCTCTGGGAGTGCTTTCAGAGCTCAAAAACAGGAGTGGATATATTGTTTCACTATGTGACTATGAAAAATACAGTAAAATACATGTACTCCTTGTGGTGATTAAAGCATGTGAAATATTTATTTATCAGAACTTTTTAAACTTATTTGGTTGATAAGGCAACAGGAAGAACCTATCTGTACAATCGAAAGCAACCAATTTCTACTCCACTGTATTCAAAATAATTTCTGACTTTGACAAACCTTCTTGAACGCTAACTTGTATTTTCAGGTTTCAAATTGTATAAACTGTACATAAATGTGACTGGATATGTTATAGATTTTTGTATCCTAACATAATTTGTGACTATATTATCATATATATTTATTTGATTGTATTAATAGGAACATGTGTAATGTCTTTTTTAGAAGACAGTGAAATAGAAAATGTAAATTGTGTTAAGATGTATGGAAGTACAGTAATTATATAGATGTGTTTGGGGTCATCTCATAAGATTTGCACTTTATTTAATGCAGAGTCTAGACCTCCAACCAAACTTAACAAAATACTCTTGGGAAGTTGGAATTTAATTCAAACGACCAACACCTGTTATTCTCGCCTTAAATATTTCTAAAGCCATGATAAATATGCTATAAACTCAATGTTATGTTTTAAACACAATCAATTAGACTTAGACCTGGACCATTTTTCAGAAAATATCAAAGCTTTAAAAAAATTCCTCACATGCTCCAAGTCTGTTGATTGTGAAAGTTACATATCATTTTGTATTCAAAATAATTTAGAGTTACAATTAAGGATAAGAATTGCAGCTATTAACCATTTGAATTTAATTAAAAAAGGAGTATTGTAAAAGAAGTGCTTTCTTGATCACACATACAAACATAAGTTTCTTCAAAACAGCATCAGGACTGTATCTGTGTATTCTTATGAAAATATAGTAAATATTGACTCTTTAATGATTGAGATTATGAACAACAATGTCAAATGATATCAAAAGAAAAAAAAATTAATAAAAAAAATGATATCAAAAGAAGAAAATTGTGACTAAAGCAAGTTGAGGTTCAACAAATTAAAACACTCAAAATTGTGAGTCTTGGAGTCTCTGTAATATATTTGACGCTGTTTTAGTATAGATCTCGTAGGGTATATTTGCAATGTGCAGCAGCTAATTACTTCTTACATGTATATTATATTACCTGTAGTGCTGTTTATGTAATGTATGTATCACAGTTGTGATATGGATGGTATAAATAAATATTTTTGTAAATATTGAAGTTGTTGCGTTTGTGTAGCATTCATTTCAAAATGGCTTAATCATCTCATTAATTCATAAAGTGAAGAATGCTTATAGGGGAAATGCACTCGTTAAACCTTACTCTTTTCAAAAACCGTTACCTTATAAGAGTTAATGTGAAAATATATTGGGCTTTGAACAACAAAATATTCTGTGTGATATTCATGGTATATTGAAACATGGATAATGCATTAGAAAAAGAAATCTAAGATTAGATAACAGCATTGCTAAGGTGTAGCATATCCAACCAAACTGAGTGTTGGACAACACTGCCAGAAATCATGTCTCAAATGGCCACCATAGATGTATTGCTATTACTCCACTACTTTTCCAGTTATCACAAAAGTGTAAAATACCATAAAAATGGCTGCCATTTTTTGAAATGGCTGCATATTAGCCAAAGTGTCATACTGTTTTCGTCTTCAATTTGGCGATTTTGGGATATCCGACATTAATTCGACTGTTTTTCAATCTCATATCTTTATCATATACCTCGCCGAGTCCAGTTTAATTGTTCTTAAAAACTATTTTAAAAATGGTCTAAATTAAACAACTGAAACGGCACCAACCGTCTTAAAACGCTCACCAAATTCAAGACAAATACAGTGATAATTAGACAGCGTAAATATGCTTCCAAGTAATCACATATAGAATTTCAACAAAATTGTTTAAATCATCTGGAAATAATGAAGGAATAAAATGCAACTGTAATGTTTCAAAATTCAGAAGACAGACTGAAAATCCATTTAAAAATTTGCATTATTGAGTGATTTAATGGGAGAGGATGTCCAAAATGGGAAATGTGATTTCAGAAGGTCCATGAAGGTTTCATGATAATTGTTGAATTTTTCATAATTTGTGGGTTTCATTTTGGGTCATTCAACTTTACATGAATATTTTAAATATATTCAGTAGATTAAAAGATATCAAAGTCAGTAATTAATTTGTTGTAGGACTTATTTATTTTCAATACTACTAGCGTTACAGTTTGTAGTTTAAATTAATAATGTTATAAGTATAATGTAATGTATATTTGGTATGTTCTTTGTGGCAAAATGTGTAAATACATGAAACATAGTTTAGTTTGATATTTTTTTGGCAATGGCTCGGTTATTGAGCGAAAGTAATATCCTGGTATTGATGACTGGACTGGTACTTCACTGTATATGTGGATAGAGCCTATAACTGAATGATTCAGAATTACATGATCCGAGAAGTTTGAGAATCATATACTGTACTCTCGTTTATATCCATATTTTCATATAATCCATCAAATTGCTCATAATTTCACTATCATGGAATAAAATCCTCCATCCTTCCAATTTATGAGCGTAATCCCAAGAATACCACCACACTAGCGTAAATCAATCATCTGATAGCGTATAAATTATTCCCCCTTGTCATCAATATTGTAGATATCATGATTGGAAAAATGGGCTTTCTTTGAGTAAATGTAGGGCACTTTGAAAGTCTAAGCACTCTCTATGAAAGTTTCTGAAGTCTCTCATAATGCTTTTATGGTCTCTTGATTTACTATCAGGATAGCTCTTCATCTTTATCAGTTTGTCTGCCAGGTACTGAATCCATAGTACATTGGAGAATGAATGGTGGGGCTCCCAGTCATTCCTGGAAAGAAAGATTTGCATTACACAAAAGACAAAAACAAAGACAAAAAGTTGTGGGCTTTCAAACACTCAAAGGCATCATAGAATTCAAATTTGACACAAAGAAGTCAATACTACAGAGCCTAAGTTACATTTAAAAAAAACTTGTATGCCAACTTGTAGAATTATGGTCCTCTATGGATTAGTTCTTCAATTTGTAGTGTGAACATGGCCAATTGAGTATAAAGGTATACAGAAAATAATTGTAGGTCCCTGGAAAAGTGAAATGAGAGCAGGACAGTAATCCCGGGGTCATAATAATACTCACATACAGGTTCTCTTAAAAACATGTAACTTGACCTCCCTATTATTTAAGTTATGGATACTTTAAATTCAATTCAAACATGACCGTGCTCTATTCGAATTTCTCAACCAATCAGAATGCAGCATAGCCAATATAGAACGTTCTCTAATTCTCCATAGATGCACGACCATGCTCTATTCAATCTGCAATTTGCATTGTTTTGAGTGACGTCACATCTCAGCTGCACATCTGGGGCTCTGTCCGGGGATAGCTGTTTTTTTTACTCCCTCCGTAACTACTGTAACTATTTAACTATGGCTGACTGTAGTTTGCATACACCGTACAAAATCTAAAACCGGGAGTAAAATAGAACAGCCCAAACAAATTCTAAAATTTTTCCGGCCGACTTCAGAATCTTGACAGCATGCGTATTCTTCCTTCATGCCCGTTCCACAGACACGGCTTTTACTAATTTTTATGTTTGAATCGGAATAAATAATGATAGGCCATTCAATATGGTGAAATTCAGCACTCGTTGGACAGAATGTTAGTACAAATGCACTCACCTTTGGTTCGTGCTTTGTACAACATTCTGTCCAACTCGTGCTGAATTTCACCATATTGAATGGCCTATCATTATTTATTCCTTAAATAGAAAAGTAGTTTAGTAGATGCGGGAGCATCGATCGGATACCCAGAGGTGAGAAGATTTCAACAAAAAACGTTGGAAAGTTCGCTGAAATGATCTAACATGATAGCTACGATCTAGGCTGAGATTCAAAACAATCACTGAATCAAATCGACGACTATATAGACTAGGTCTTCGGTCTATCCCTCTTGAACTTCGTTCTTTGGGATAATAACAACCAATCAGAAAAAAACATAAAGAATAACCCCCATGTCATCTAAGAGTATTGAACCCAGCCAGCCCATTAATAGCTGAGTAATCAGTTAATCCATGTATGCACAGAACAAGCCATAACATAGAGCAAAGTTTGCCATTAATACTCAAGTAAATCAAGTAATAAACAAAATGAGTGGAAACACAAGAAAATGGTTAATAAATATAATACACACATGCTAAGAGAGTAAAGAGACACATAGACATTAGACATGTTTCAACTTATAAGTAGACGATAATATTATGACATCATTCATCTTCTAAGGGTAAAACTCACTCATTTTCATCCCTCATCATTCTATAGACATCAAACTGGTGATCCCCCTTTCCCTCAAACAGACTCTCATCTGTTGAAAGGTCTGTGAACACTGTTACACCATCTGGAAAATAAACAATATTTACATGTTTTTGCATTAAGAAAACTGAAATTCAACTCAGGTAAAGATAAGACAATTTGTCTGGTGAGGTTTCATGAACTTTTATAATATACATATTTAAAACATATGAAGTTATATTAACCATGGCCAGTTACATTATCAGTATGAAATATTTAACAAAATAAATGTGACATCAATTTCAATGTGATACCATCAAAAAGCGCTAATATTATTGGAGCATTGTAGCATCAGAAATGGACAGATAGACATTTCAGTTAGCATATTCAACTGTCGGACAATTTTTCTGGAATAAGAATTTTGTTCTAGTGAATAATATACCTTTTCCACCCATATTTATACTTGGGCAATGGACTTACCTTTCCGCATCCTGGACAAAGTGAAGTCAATGATACAAGCATGAACGCCAAGACTCTCCACTTCTACAGTCTCGCCATCTATCTTGTATCGTACACTCGGAGCTGTAGTGTTCCTCACAAGAACGTTACCCCAGTGGAGATCACGATGCTCAAACTGGAACTCAAGCTCAGCAGTTGCAAGTGCCGCAGTCACCTGATGGAGAAGGCTCTTGGCTTGAAGGGCATCACGGAACTAAAAACACAAGGTGATATGATGTTCTGACCTTGTGGCTTTTTTATTATTACAGTAAAAGCCTGTGTATATTAAATATATTTTGCCAAGAAAAAATGTTCAGTGTTTTTATGTGTTCACTACAGAGAGGGTAATTAATTCAAAAGTCAGTCAGCTTTCTCAACAAGGTAATATCCATTCCAATCTTTATGGAAAGCTTTTTTCATTCTAAAATGATTTTTATCTCAAATTAACTTGGTGAGGTAGAGTTAAAGATGATACCTGAAAGTGCTCCAAATCAGAGCCTCCATCTCCAAACTCAAACACAATAAAGAGCTGTTCATCTGAGAATACATCTGCAAACGAGTCAGAAAATTAGTAAACATAACTAGTGATGAGTTTTTGCTAAAATGGGATTAAAATATTGGTGTGTAAATGTCTATAAAAATTAAGTTTCAAGCTATTTCTTGAATGACATATACACAGCATCCATTGAATTTCTAACCTATGAGACAAAATACATGTTCACATGCATCACGCCCCTTCTGAATCCTAATATTGGTTCATATACACATAAAATATATAAGGGTTCAGTATTATTGAGTTATTTCTACTCGACTGAGTTGAGTAGGAGACCTGTACCTGGTCTATCATTCTCCGAGTGTTTGGTCTCGTTGAATGTGTCCCACTGGTTAAGAAGCCTATCAGGGTAACATCCCTGGACACAAGCAACGCTGTTAACCTGGCAGAAAACATCTGTCTGGTTGGTACTGCAACTTCGCAACTCACTGAGCTCTCTGAAACACAAATAGGAGTATAGTTTGTTATATGCAGTAGTTCAAATTCATTAAAAATATTTGAGATAATTCATAAAACAGAGGATCGAAAACTAAAAATACAAAATTCAAACATTTTATGGAAATAGATATTTAAACCTTATGACAAATTCAAATTAGTCTTATAGTAGTCTTATGTACCAATAGTCTTATTATATCTCCAATGGAATTTCCAGTTGCTAAATGTTAATAAAAGGAGTACCTTGAGATCACTATTTCTGGCAGGATTTCCTCAAAAGTTTTCTGAGGTTCATCGTTAACTGTAAAATCTCCTTCTATCGGAATCACCTGAAAAAAGAAGGTAATTCAATGCAATAGATATGATCAAAAAAACCTCAACAAGGATAGATGACCTTATACTAGCAAAGTGCTCATACAAGAAACTCCATGTATTAAAATCACTAGAATTGAGAGGAAATGAGACTTCACATTTTGTCTTGACTTTATTTTACTGTGTGGACACACTTTGCATTTATTATGCCACCACTAACAATTTTTGTCTGTTTTTAAGACCTGTATATTTTAAGCAAGCTTGAATTGGCTGCTATCATGTATTAAGCTCTTACCTTAAAAACAACAGGCTGCTATCATGTATTATGCTCTTACCTTAAAAACAACAGGCTGCTTACGTGAGTTCAATGCTCTGAACACTTCACCATACACACCTTCCCCTATCTTAACACAGGTCTTGAGTAAACTGAAAACAAGGTACATGTATTATCTCATCAGCCATCAGTCACAATAGAGACCACACCTTTTTGCAATTTGAAAGATGTATATTCCAATGAGAGAAAAATCATGAATTCAGGATCATAGGATGCCGTAAATACATACAAAAAAAGATGAAAACAAAATCTTCACTTGGCTGATTGGTTGGAAATCAAAATGAATCTATTGTTTATACTGTATTGCCGCTGGTCGGGAATAACACTTTTTTATAACTGCTACTTTAGTTGGTGAATTATATATTAATCTGATTGGATATTATTGTGTATGAATATTTAGATTTACCTTGGTGTTATGCACTGAGAGAAACTAATGAAGCCCTCCTGCCTGCACTGTCCCATGATTTTAGTATGAGGGGAGAATGCTGGACATGCTGGAGTTTTTGTCCTCTTAGGGGTCATCATTTCCTGAACATACCAAATTGGAAGTCAGTTATAAAGAATACTATGTATTACCATTAACATTATCTCTGGTTTTAATTAATGAGAGGCAACTGGCTACTTTTCTTGGTTTTTTTTCACCAAAATCTTGCAGTTTGCAATTGTTTCCATGTTAAAATAATAATTTTGGATAATTTTGCAAGTGGATTTCATTTGCTTGAAGAACGACATGTATTTGACCATTATCTATGGGTTTAGATGTAGGCAACTGGTGATTTTTCTTGTTTTTTTCCACCAATAATTTTGCCTGTTGATTTCATGAGCCTGTTGTCAGAAAGTCTAAACAAACCCCTGCTAGTGTATACATAAAAATGAAATCTACTTACAGCAAATGATCTGCAGCTTGCCTCAAGTTCAAGCTGTCTTGCCCTAAGGCTCTCACTGGCTGTATGTGAATCATGTTCACTGAAGCCTCGAAAGGGAGACTCTTGTACCTGGTTTGCAGGGGACTCTAGAGCCTGGGTAGCAGTATGGTAGGAAGACATTGCACTTGTCTCTGTGTCATCTAGACACAGTTCAGATATCATGTACCTAGAATTACAAGTACTTCTTAGTCATGTGTAAAAGTAAAAAAAAACTAAGCTGTATTTTTTGTGATGATAGCTAAGTGCAGCCAAACATGTATCACAGAAACATAAAAAGAACTTTTTCTTTCTACAGCAAGCTTTTTGCTAAAATATAAAATGAAATCATTTGTGTTACCTTGTAACATCAACATCATTTTCGAGGATATCACTCTCTTCTTTGATATCATCCTCAGATTGTTCTTCACTAATATCTTCTTCATCACTAACATCATCTTCTTCATCTTCAACTTCATTTTCCTCTATATCAGATACTTCAAGTTCTTCATCTTCAACAATGTCACTAAGTTCTTCAATTTCAGGCTCACTATCTTCATCTATAACACGAGGGTTCCATATGGTACAATTTAATTTATTACTAAGCAATTATTGGAAATATTTAATACTTCTTGTTGACCTGAAAAATGTTATAATATTCCAACACAAGTTGGATATGTCAGGGATTTAGGAAATAATTAAAAGTGTGAATATAGCATTCTTAGGAGTCTTGAGCCAATAATATGTACATCAACATTGGGCATATTGGCATCTCCATCAAAATGGCCTTAATTCAAACAAGCCATTAACATCCAAAATGTCACTACCTGTCATTTGTTACAGAAGCTGAAGCTGAGGGGGTCAGGTGACTACCAGTTTGAAATTAAATTCTTTGATTTACATTTCAGAAAAACATAGCTATCTTTTCATTACCAATGTTACCTGATTCCTCCTCACTTGCTCCTCCCTCCTCTTCATCCTCTTCACTTATCTGTTGGAGTATCTCATCATACGTCATATCAGAGAACAGATCTCTCGATGGATCATAGTAATCATCATTGGATGAAGACGACGATGATGCTGATGATCCTTTATTGGATCTAGTTCTACGACCACGAACTGTTACATTTTCTAGTGTGTTCTTACATGAATCTGATGATGTGGATTTACTCGATGTGGGTGAACTTGAGTCTGAGGGAATTTTATCGAGTATTACACGACAGGGTTTAAGTTTATCTACAATGCCATTGGCACTGTTGGTGTTTAGTATTGCATTTGTTTTCCTTGTTTTCGGAGTGAAATATGGACTTTCAGCTATACTTGAGATGCAAAGATTTTGTAAGGATAACTCAACATCATTTATATGTTCCCTGGATTTACTTAAATTGATAGGTGAGTGCTCTGATGAATTTTTACTGTGATTTAATCCAATGTGCGATGTCTCAGGACTTGACTCTACTAGGTCAATGACTGATAACTCATGCACTTTAGATAATTTAGGATCCTTAGTCAAAGCTTTGTGAATAGTTACTGCTTGTTGATGTGGAGTGCTTGTCACAGCTGAGGTATTTTTTCTGGTTGTCCTTGTTTTCATATGTGGGGTCCCCTCATTTGGAGTCCCTCCGTGTGGGGTCCCAGTTGGTTCAATATCAGGCTCTATAATAAGTTCTTCAGTAGCATTTGAAGACTCACTGATTATCAAACTATACGAGCTAAATTCACTAAAATTAACTGAAGGAATTACATTCCGTTTAACTCTTCGATTTTTTCCTGTTTCTAAACTTTGTCCTTCCTCCAACAATTTCTCAACTTCTTTGGATTTAGAAGTTTTTACATTTAATTTAGCTTTAGTTGGTTTAACCTTATCATTTTTTATAGTTTTTGTGGAAGGTTTCTTTTTAGCAGCTTTTGTTCCTTTAGTTTTCTTGTTATTGTCTTCAAGAGAGATATCATTTATCACAGCATTTCGATCCTTGAGGGCTTTCCTAGTTGGGGGCTGCACCTCAGATACAAACATGACACCACTATTGTTGCTTGAACAGGAATCCTGAAACATGAAAATGTATATTGGAAAATATTAACCCTAAGGATGTGGATTTAAATTATGAAACTAATATTTGGATTCTGGAACACAAAAAATTAATCTTGAAGTTGGAAAATATGAATTCTGAAACATGAAATATTTGATTCTTAAAACTATTTAAATTGTGAAATTAATCAAAATGGTGAAAAATGTGAATCCTGAAACACTAAAATTGGAAAAGTGATCTATAAGTAAATTCATACTTAGAATTAATTTTGTTAGTAATCTAGATAAAAAATAAGGGATGTACTTTGTACATACTACTCAAAGGCATCTAAAGCTTAGACATGAAAAAGACTTGTGTGATTAAAATTCATAATTCAATGTTTCACCAAACCAGTCCACAATAACATTTATCACAAGCTCTGTATACAGGACTGGGGTGTATTTAGACTTACATCAGATGATGAAGAGAGGGTGTATGTTTTCTTGACTTTACATCTTCTATTCTGCCTCCTCTCTGTCGTATCAATGTCATTGTTTTCTTTATTGTGCTTGCCTCGTGTTGAGGTCTTACAACATACATTTCTGAAACACACATAAAATGATCTTGTAAAACCCCATTTTTGCTTAGATGTGCAAAACTGCTCCATTTAATTGCACATTGTACAGTGTACACTTACATGTACTTTTACTTTATCATGGATACATGTCATTTTCATAATACCATGTCTTTTTGATTAAAAACTAAAGACTGAATCATGTTATTACCCACCATTGTAGTGTTTATCTATGCAAATGTACAGTCAGCACAGACCATCAAAGTGATTATATTTGCAGGAAAAATTCAGCGTAATGTTAAAGTTCACAAAAAAACAAATAAAAATCCCTGCAGTTTAAAATCCTATTTATCAAACAAAATAACAAGTGAAGCAATTGTTTAACCATTCAAAACTTACTTCTTAGTCTGTTTCCTTCTTCCTGCTGCTGGAAGCCCTAGAAGTACTGCAGGTTGTTTAGCTGACGAGTTTGATTCTACAGACACATCATTTATGCTAGATTCCGATGAGAAACTGAAAACATTGAGCTTCTCTTCCCTGGATCCAAACACATCAAAACCATCATCCTTCACGACCCTCTGTTTATGTCTCCCATATGTTAATGCTCTTGTTCTTGATTGAGACATGCTGTTCTATTGTTATATGTTGTTGCAGCTATTCATGTTCCTCCTGAAATATATGTATGAACAAGGATATACTAAATTAACTAATATCAAACTGATAGAAGCCAAGCCTTTAAATCACATGTTATCTATTGCAAGACTAACGCCTAGTGTAACCGTCACCATGTTATTCGGTGTTTTTTAAGTAGCGCAAGGATCCTGCCATGACCGTGGCAGTGTTATTTTGTAAGCCTGGTATAACCGTGACAACGCTGTATTATATTGCAAGGCCTGTCATGACCGTGGTAATGTAAAAGCCCCGTATGACCGTGACAATGGTTGCATGGCCTGTCATGACCATGGTAATGTTAAAGCCCAGTATATATTATATGACCGTCATAATGATTGAAAGGCCTGTCATTACTGTCAGAATGTTAAGGCCTGTCATGACCGTGGTAAGGTTAAAGCCTGATATGACCGTGACAATGCTATATTATATTGCAAGGCCTGTCATGACCGTGGTAATGTTCAAGCCTGATATGACCGTTACAAGGCTTGCAAGGCCTGTCATGACCGTGACAATGCTATATTATATTGCAAGGCCTGTCATGACCGTGGTAATGTTAAAGCCCCGTATGACCGTGACAATAGTTGCAAGGCCTCTCATGACCGTGGTTGTATTTAAAGTAGCATGAGAACATCGTAATGACAATTTTTCTTCGTGTTTAACTACCTTAAATGTAAATAAAGACTACTAAAAATGTGTATTAATTTCACGACGAAACCCTAATTTTTACTCATAAATAATTTGCGAACAAACTATATCTCTACTCTCATTCAAGGAGCTTCGATTCGAAAGCATATACTTTCTATAATGATCAATTAATAAGATTTATCCATAAAAAATACCAACAGCAACGGGCGAAACATGAAGGTCATTAATGTCATATAAAGGTTGCGGTCGCGCCAGGCTTACACGATTACACTACCGCGGTCATGGCAGGCATTTTAATATAATACAGCATTGTCGCGGTTATACCAGGCTTTCACGATAACATTACCACGGTCATGGCAGGATCCTTGCACTACTTAAAAAAAACACCGAATAACATGATGACGGTTACGCCAGGCGTTAGTCTTGCAACAGATAAGGTCTCCTTTAAATCATGAATTTAGCATGCATACATGTTGTTCTAACTCAGGCATACTGATTGAAATGCTTGAAACGGTGAAACACGCTTCCGCAGTGAAATTGTTATTACATTTTCCTTACTAAATTGGTCTTGAGATTGAAATGCTTGAAACGGCGAAACAGTGAATCTTTAATTTCATCTTCGAGGGTGAATCGATTGAAATACTCAAAATGACGCAAGCATCGAATTGGAGGAAATGATGAATGGATTGAAATAACAGTGTATACAGGGCTAGACTACCTGACATTCTCAATCCTCGGTAGTGTAAGCTTTTTGTACATGTCAGGTCAACTTACGTTCTTCTTATTGATTTTGTTACTTGGAGTGGACTCACAATCTCACTCATTCATTTTCATTTCAAAGTCACTGTAACTTGACCAAGACTTAGACTGCAGCAAATTCCAATTCCAAGTCCACAAATTCAGATCAAATTAGATCACTACTATATTTGACTGCTTAAGATAGAGTTACATGTATATTTATCGAATGTGTATATTATTTATGCCGTCTAATTGCCATAAGATTGAAAATTGGCACTTACTTTTTTATATTCCAATATGGCGCCCAGAATTCAAAATCTTAGCACTCTGATTGGCCAAAAGAATTGTCACTAGATAGCAAACTAAATGCAATACTCGAAATATTCAATATGATTTGTAAAATATAACAAACAGCATGTCAAAATAAACTGAAAAAATATTTTTACGATAACATTGCATTGTACCAAAATTTGATTTTTTCTGTGATGAAAATTATAGAAAAAGGGGGAAATATGTAATTTATTTCGTGTTTCGTAGAGTTTGACATCAGAATAATAACATTGCCATGGGATGGAGTCTCAAACAAGGTGGTTTCTCCTTTCAAACTTGATTTTTGTTCATTTAGCCAGTTCAGATGCCTTTGTTGGAGAATGTGGCTGTTCTTTTAAGGAATGGGTATGTATTGAGTTGAAATTGATAATAGTTTGTGTGTTAAATGACTTAGAAATAATTTTTATTTTACTACTTCCTTGTTCAAATTGATCTTCAATAGGCTGCAGTTTGGACCATAAATAAATGATCATAGATTACCTACTTCTAAGGCCAATATCACTGGTGATCCACTTGATTATGCTGGTAACAAAATGTCGGAACATCGAAGGTACGATTTTTCTTTTTTCCTTATTTCACATGTTGTACGCAGAATTCCTACAACATTTTTAACACAAAGGTATCAGTATCATACTGTATGTTTACAGAGAACGGACTGGCTCCCGTACCGACAATTGTTGGTACAGGCGACTGCCCAGTCAGTATTTGCTCCCGTATCGACAATTGTCGGTACTGGAGACTGCCCAGTGTATTTGCTCCCGTACCGACAATTGTTGGTACTCTATCGTCTCCTAGTAGGGCAAGATAGAGGACCGACATTTTCAAAAATAAATATACTAGTTTCGCTCCTGTTAGTATCGTTCACTGGTAGTGTAGTGGTTAGCGTTCTCGCCTGCAACACATGTCGTGCGAGTTCGATTCGAGTAAGAAAATGAACATATTTGGGAACAAAAGTTCAGAAGACAACAGAATCGTCGATTTAATTCCTGACTTAAGTTACAGAAACGGTTTTTCGAAGAACAGTGAAAATCCGCACTCTTAACCAAAACTGTTTATGTAACTTAAGGGAGGAATTAAATCAACGATTCTGTCGTCTTCTGAGTTATTTTTTTCACCAACATGTACACTGTACATTGTCTAAAACATATGATACTGATATAGGGAGAAAAAACATCGTGAAGATTCTGCGTACAACACGTGAAATAAGGAAAAAAGAAAAATCGTACCTTAGACGTTCCGACATTTTGTAATCGAAACGAACCATTTCAATAACCAGCTTAATCGAGCGGATCACCAGTGACTATATGAATTGGCTAGAGACTCGAGTAATCATAGATTTGCTGAAGTGAGAATTTCCCCACAGATAGAACTCTCCTTACTTTTTGTACCATTGGGATGCATGTTAAATTGACAAAGTTCAAATTAGAATTTCTCACCCATCGATTTTCAAAGAATTTCAGAGAAATATATAAACACATCTCACCTTCATGTCAAAAAAATTCAACAATATTATCCCACGAAAATCAAAAGTTCTGCTCTCTCAACATATAGTTGGTGAACGTCATCACCCAAGTGAAAAAACAGCTTGCCATACCACTCTAATAAACCACTAATAGGCTACTAATACTCAACTAGTAGAACATGTTCTTAGTGATTTGTTAGTGGTGATTTTCGTTAACAGATCACTTTTCGCCATTGACTTAACAGGTAGTTTATTAGTTGAAAAAATTACCATGCAAATGAGATAAAAATTATTGACCAATCAGAGAGCATGTAATACACTACCAATAGATCACTCCTGAAGTCTCAAGTATTACTAAAAGACCACTAATACATCAATTCCTGAACTCTTATACACCACTAATACACAACTACTAGTCTAACAGACTACTAACAAATCACTCCTGAAATCTCAGAATTTATACATCCATAAGGTACAAAATCTCTATAGTGCTAAATTCAGTGAGAAATTATGAATAAGATTCAACATGTACATCTTCTACATACCTTTATGAATATGCTGAGCAAGATTCAATAAAGTCCAGTCACACCTCTGGTTGTAATGCTACATTTCATCGGAGAATTAATTCCCTCACATTTTAACTCTTTCCGGCATTTAAAAGGGGTTTCTCATTCTAAATCAAGGATCAGTTTAATACACTACTAATAGACCATTCCAGAAAAAATCGAGTTAATACACAACTAACAAACCACTCAACCTTAAAAACCTTACAGTGGTTTATTAGTTGAGTATTGTGCGTTTTAATACATAACTTGACTAAATCACTTTTCATAGTGTATTGGTGATCTATTGGTGATGTATTAGTGGTATATTAGATTTCCTTTTTACTTGGGCATATTCATGTACATTGACCAATTCACCACTACCCATCCATCCGTAGAAAATAATCCCAAAGATTTTACCATTCACTGTTATGCTCACATGTGTCCCGGTTAATTATTCTGAGCATTATATGCCTGCAAATTAGAGTATCCCATCCAAAGATGGTGCTGTAGTATACCATGGAAGTCCCCAAACAGGTTTTTAATAGAACGACGTTCGTCATACCACGAAATAAACAAACGAGTAAGGATAGTACACTCATAGTCATTTGCAGTTGATTTGGGGCAAACCCAAATCATGATCTATACCTGTACTCCCTTCTCCATTGAAAAGTAGACTAGATCTAATGATCTGGGCTTGCTACCAACACAATAGAATGAACTGTGTTTTATTTTTAAGAATATCAAAGAGCAGTGTATTATTTTTCTATTGTTTTTAAAGAGCCTAAAGAATGTACATCGGCATTAGCTAGCCAAAACCATGGCACAAAAAAACGATTGGCTGTCACATGCATAGTTCAAGGTCGTTAAACTCAATAACGGCTTTCATTATGATGAGGAATTTTCTTGGCCGTTATTGAGTTTAACATCCTTACTATTCTTTCCTTAGTCGCAAGTTCTGGATCCATCAAAACCATTTTTCCGCCATAACATGCAACTGATACTTGACAAAATAATATAAAAACACATAACATCAAGAAAGGTATATACCAGTAGAAAGGTATATTTGAGTTAATCAATTATGTAGCTAATGATGTGAACGGATTGCAATGCCATAGAGTAAAATAACCGCAAAATGGTACAGAATTATATTACTTTTTCTTTCTTACATTCGAATTCATCTTGTTTAACTAAGTGACAAGTCCCAGCTTCTAATCTCGCTGCGGCACAAATCATTTTCATGTTGCAAGATATTGCAATGTTCTTGTTTCTTCAAGTTCAACATCAATTAAACAATTTGGCAATCTTACTTTTAGTTGTTTTCTTTGACTAGTCTGACTATGACTTTGAATTATGATGACTAAATTGACCACCTCAGCAGATTCAGCAATTTCAGTGTCTTGAACAGTCACCATGTAATTGTTTGACTCCATTGACCTCCAAGAGGAGGGCCAGAAATCCCATATTAAACATGTCATAAATTGTAATTTCAGAATTGCAGTATCATACAGAGTAGCACCCAAGGTAAGACATTTTAAGGTAATCAATGCAAATCTCATTGGTCTGAATCAGTCATCTGAATGGTCCGAATCCCAATCATCAGAATCCCATTGGTCCGAAACCTAATGATCCAAAAAATAAAAATTGTTGAAATAATATTTTCCAAGGGACCACAGGGAAATATTAGGCATGAACATGCAAAATGTCACAACCTCCCATTTGTAACAGATGCCAAATGTCAACCACTGAAAACCATTCATAAAGAGTTGGAGACTATAACAGTATGTCAACACTTCTGAGTTTCGGTGGATTAGGTATCAGATCAGGCCAGTAGCCAGAATTTTCCAAGGGGGGTTCACTTTTCCCAAAAATTCTAGGGGATTTAGACATTTGGGATTTGGACCAATAAGATTCGGATCATTGGGATTCGGCAAGTTAGGATTCAGACCAATGGGATTTGAACGATTGGGATTCGGACCAATTGGATTCCAACCAATGGGGTGACCCCAAAATATAGATTTCTGTTTATTAACAAATGTTAGTGCAGTGCTTGACAAAACGTTTATGCTGACTTTGGTATTTTTAAGTGAATAGGCCCTGGCATACCTAAATAAATCTTTTAAAATTATTTTCCAGAATGTGACTATAAGCGTGTAGGGCCTGGTAAAACTTACCCTGGAGATCCCAAAGATTTGAAGTACAGCATTGAACCTGGAAAGGAGCAATTTGTGAAGCTTAATATTTCATGGCAACCCCCAGGAGATGGTAAGCATTGTAATCTAGCCAGAAAATAAATCATTTGCCTCTGTTTGTACCTTAATCAGCTCATTATCTTGTAATCAGATCATTATCTATGTAAGATTAACAAAAAGAGGAAATTGCCAAAAAGATCTAGTTAAGGGATCCTTTATTATCTAGTTCTATTCTTATCTCTACATACAAGTCTTGCGCGCATATAATATGGATCTTCATTATATTTCAAAAGAAGAAAAATAATGGGGCCATCAATGCACATACTTACCTCATTCAATTCTAAACACCACCAGAAACATTCTCCCAAAGGCACAACTGTTGCAGTTGTGGCACATTGCAATAATACAGTATACACACATCAATCTTTAAATCAGCCAGTATTTCAAAATGTCTGCCATGAACTCAGGGATTACATTGATGTCACTTCCGATCAACTTGCATTAACTTGCTTACGCGTTGTAATATATAAATGAATCATGGTTTGTAAACATGCAGCTTTGGCACCCGCAGGAATTTCCTTGCATTTTACTAACAAGTCGATACAACAGTTATTCTTTAGATTGAAATGATTCAAATACACTATTCATGATTTATTAATGTTCCTTGTCTTGATTCTGTATTCTGTTCCATGGAACAATAATTCTACATTAATTTTATATATAATATCATCATTGTTAGCGCTTCAGTTCAGTTTTTATACAGTTGAAAAAGGATCCAGACAGGATCCGAAATGTCCTGTTTAGTAAAATTTTTTTTTGTAATATCATAATTGTATAACAGTTTTGAAAATCATTTGACATTTTTATACATTTTAGGCTCAATTACGTTTTTAAAAGGATTCCTAGTCAAAGTAATATACGTTGACAACCTAAATAAAGGGAAGGATGAATGTGCCGTAATTGCTTGGACTGAACAACTGAACATTCAACAGAAAAAGGTATATTGATAATGATTAGCAGTACTATTTTTGCTTTTGTTTATGCTAGAACTTTTTGTTAGTTGGGACAAAAAGAAATCATCTGAAATGGAATGCTCAATTTATTGTGTTTACTAGTATCTCATATGAATAAAATGTGTTTACTTCTGTCTTCAAAGTTTGAGTAAGGATAGCCCATGATTTAATAGAATCCTAGTTTTGTAAGGATTTGCTATTTTACGCCCTACATAGCAATGATCTTCGCTGAAAATGTGTGAAACCATCTTGATGTTTATTAACATTTCACAAACTGTTTGCAGATGTGAACGAAATGTTAGAAATTTTAACCAATAAAAAGTCCTTTACTACCAGTCGAAAAAAACATATTGGCCTCGGGGTCTTTCTTGCCCCAGGTTCCCTTTGGATTTTCCCTTTATATATCCTTCTGGCAAGTGAGATCATTGCTAGATGGGAGTTGTCATTTTCCACTTTCTCTTTCAGATTCGATTCCAGTATAATTGCCTGTCTATTCTAAAGGGTTCTTGCATTGCTATATCTGTGACATCACTTCCTAAATCAACGGATGGTGATGATATGACAGATCAGACAATATATCTTGATGGGATCGATGTAGGCGGGATTGATCAAGGTACTACATTACATAACAGCTTTTAACACAGAGCTGTTTTTCATTAATTGCAATTATTGGCCCCACTCCCTAATAAGTGCCTAACCATTTCACAAATATGAAGGAGAAATATTTTGAGAAATTGTAAATGAAAGATTCTCTCAAAATTTCAACTTGGCGATAATGGATAAATTGTCTTCTTGCAATAATTAATGGCCACCAATCATAGTACTTGCACTTGAAAGGTGCTATATTGCCTTGTGCTGATGGGTCTAGGGGTGGGAGGCACAAAAATCATTGATAGCAAGATTCATTCAAAATCTTTACAGATCTGCAAGAATAGAACCAAGATCTGATTAAATTGTTTATGTAATTTCTCTTTTAAATTATTGAACTCTAAGTCAACTAAAGCAGTTCAATATTTTACTCAGTGTTTTTGCTACTTCATTTGTCTTCTATGGTAGCGCCTTCTATTCAGGTTATTCATTTTATAGAATGAACTGATTCAATTGATTATCATAAATTTATGAAAGTGCTTTCTTGATTTCTTATCCTTAATTTAGTTTCCATCCATGTGTTTCTAGAGTTTCCAGACTTGAAATTGAAAGTTGCCAATATATCCAGTAATGGTACAATACGGGTTGAGTTCACCCCTCCCTCCAAGGATCTGACCCCATCTTACACTCTCCTTCTCATGGATAGTGCAGGGAAAAACCCTATTAAAACAGAAAAGTTGGTAAGTGTTAAAGCTCCTATTATGTCAAATGGAGATGCTTTGTTATGATAATATTTTAATAAAAATAACAAGTAGAAGTGTTTGCACTACATGTATTTCAAATATTAAGCCTCTATTATTAGATGTTCAGTTTACAGAGGTAAACTTGACAAGCATAAACTCAATCAAAAATGTTTCAGCTCCCAAGCCTGAAAAATATGAATTTTAGGAAATACCAGGTCGTTCAATAAGTTCTCATAATTTTGCTCTCATTTTAAGAGTTTTTTATATTTTTCCATGAAAATTTCACAGACGATGCAGAATGTATCTGTGTAACAACTCTGCAAAGATTATGTATTAATTCTAATGGTTGTGGAAATGGCGGTTGCTATAGTAACGTCAAAAATCGGTAGGCGGGGCAACTTTATTTGATCGTAAAATCCATGGATGTAGTTAGATTTCATCTTGAAATGTCATATGTTTTATCTGAAAGATTTGCAACCATAGAAACAGGTTTTGACATCAGTGTGAAAGATGCAACTTTTCTGAGTATAGTTATTACTGTGACATCACATAAAAAGGTATGACATCACAGAAAAGGTTTCAATAGAGAGACCCAAGATGGCAGCTGACTGTGGTCTTGTGAAAAGTCAAGATGAAATTCAAATTCAAATCCGTAGTGTGATAAGATTTTGTGTGTTATCCAAGAAATCAAGAGGAGAAACAATAAAAGCAGTTCAAGATATTTATGGAAAGGAGTTAATGAGCACACCTACCATATACCAATGGTATCAAAGGTTTGGTTCAGAGGGAAGAAAATCTGTGATGGATGAAAAACGGACTGGCAGACCGGTAAAAGTCACCAACCCAAAGGCTGTTGAAAGAGTTAAGACAGTTCTAGATGATGATCGCCGCATCTCTGTACGGGAACTTAGTGAGAATGTGAACATTAGTATAGGTAGAACACACTTCATTCTGAAAGAGAAGCTTAAAATGAACCTCATGTGTGCTAAATGGGTGCCAAAGGAGTTAACTAGTGACCAGAGAGCCCGCAGAGTTGAGTTTCCCAAGAATTTCTAAGACGATACCAAGATGAAGGGGATAGTTTTCTTCAACGAATTATCACATGCGACGAGGTGTACGTCAGCTATTATGAGCCCCTTGGGAAGAGAGCATCAAGTGGTTGGAGAACTAAGAACTCACCTACTCCCATTTCAACCCTGGCAAAACTGACCAAAAATGACGGCAAGGTGATGTTCATTGTGTTTTTGGATAGCTCTGGGGTGCTGCTTACGCATGCAATTCCTGATGGTCAGAGAATAAACAAGGACTATTATGCAATGGTAAGCTTATTCATTATTAATAAATTAATCAATATAAGAGTAAAAACATTAAATCAAATCAAATTTAAAATCAGATTTGAACTATAAAAATGGTTAAGTACAAATGTTAAAGGCATTAGTATCCTATCCTACTGACTATTTCAGGTTCTCAAGAGGCATCTCAAACGGGCCTTCTCAAAGAAACGCCCCCTCCTAGAGTTGGCGACAAGAATATTTCATCAGGATAATGCCCCGTGTCACCGGGCAGAACTTGTACTGAACACCATAGGAGAACTCGGAATGGAAGTTCTCCCACAGGCACCATATTCACCTGATGAAGCCCCATGCGACTTTGGCGTGTTTGGCCGAATGAAAGATGAGCTGAGAGGTTTTCGATTTGCATCGACAGAAGATTTGCAGAATGCAGTCCAAAATGCTCTCAGAGCTAGATTTCCTGATGGATTCCATAAAATCTTCCAGGATTGGGTAGAACGTCATCGAAAGTGTGTCGCATCCAATGGACATTATTTTGAGCATTTAAAGTAGGAATAGAAACATTTACCCCATACTATTTCATGGGATAAATGGGACTACATGACATTAAAACACTTGTTACTCTCCACAATGTTGAACTGAATTATATGCCACTATGACGTCAAATAATCTGCCCCGCCTACCCATTTTTCATGTTACTATAACAACCGCCATTTTCACGACCATTAGAATTAAAACTTAATTTTTGCAGGGTTGTTACACAGATACATTCTGCATCGTCTGTGAAATTTTCATGGAAAAATATAAAAAACTCTTAAAATGAGAGCAAAATTATGAGAACTTATTGAACGACCTGGTACTATTCTGTATTGTGTGTATTGCTTTGAACTTTACATTGTACATTTGTATTGTTATTTGTATTTTCAGAAAAAGCCAACAACAGTGCACACATTCACAAATGTTGCCCCTGGCAGATACACAATCTGGGTAGGTTTTCCCGCCAAATCACACTTAAACAGAACACACAGCACTATCAGTTTTAAAATCAAACTTTGCATGAATGAAATAAAAATGACATTCATTTATTTATAGATTTAATTGGATGATAACCATGATCTTAAATATATGAATATCTAAATCACCTCTACCTTCTTTGGTCCTTTGTGGTTTAATATTGTTTATCATTGACTGCATTGTAGTTGAAGCCGTCTCCTAGTCCCAACTGTCCTGAGCCTTATTCCCAATGCCTTACTTTACAAGGCAGTTGTGCAGAATGTGAGACATCCCATTCCCATGAATTCAATATATATCGTAAGTATACTTAACTTCACGAGTTTGCTTGCCTTGTTATTTCAAAATAAGATATATTTGGCATAGAGTATATCTTCATTGTATTTTTGTGTGACATAATATACTGACAATATAAATGTTTGATCAATAATTTCAAGTTCTGATGAAATAGCACTTTACAGCATTGTTATGTCACCACCAAAAGTGGTGACATATTGTTATGGTCTCCGTTTTTTTGCGACGGCGTCCGGCGGTTGGCGTCCGGCGGTTGGCGTCCGGCATCTGTAACAATTTCTTACAACTTCCTATAACTTAACAAATACTGTTTAGACTGACTTCAATTTTTTTCTAAATCATCTACATGTTCTCAGAAGTTCAAATCTGACTTTAGATTTGACATTTGACTTTCAATGACCTTCTCAAGGTCAAAAAGGTCTTTTTTCAACTTGCTTCACATTGACTAAATTTTTTTTCAAAATCATCTACATGTTCTCAGAAATTCAAATCTGACTTAAGATTTGACATTTGACCTTCAAATCTGACTTTAGATTTGACATTTGACCTTCAATGACCTTCTCAAGGTCAAAAAAGGTCAAAAAGGTCTGTTTTCAACTTGCTTCAAATTGACTAAATTTTTTTTTCAAAATCATCTAAGTGTTCTCAGAAATTCAAATCTGAGTTAAGATTTGACTTAAGATTTGACATTTGACCTTCAATGACCTTCTCAAGGTCAAAAAAGGTCAAAAATGTCTGTTTTCAACTTGCTTCAAATTGACTAAATTTTTTTTTCAAAATCATCTACGTGTTCTCAGAAATTCAAATCTGACTTAAGATTTGACATTTGACCTTCAATGACCTTCTCAAGGTCAAAAAAGGTCAAAAAGGTCTGTTTTCAACTTGCTTCAAATTGACTAAAAAAAATTTTCAAAATCATCTACGTGTTCTCAGAAATTCAAATCTGACTTTAGATTTGACTTAAGATTTGACATTTGACCTTCAATGACCTTCTCAAAGTCAAAAAAGGTCAAAAAGGTCTTTTTTCAACTTGCTTCAAATTGACTAAATTTTTTTTTCAAAATCATCTACATGTTCTCAGAAATTCAAATCTGACTTTAGATTTGACATTTGACCTTCAATGACCTTCTCAAGGTCAAAAAAGATCAAAAAGGTCTGTTTTCAACTTGCTTCAAATTGACTAAATTTTTTTTTCAAAATCATCTACGTGTTCTCAGAAATTCAAATCTGACTTAAGATTTGACTTAAGATTTGACATTTGACCTTCAATGACCTTCTCAAGGTCAAAAAAGGTCAAAAAGGTCTGTTTTCAACTTGCTTCAAATTGACTAAAAAAAAATTTCAAAATCATCTACGTGTTCTCAGAAATTCAAATCTGACTTTAGATTTGACTTAAGATTTGACATTTGACCTTCAATGACCTTCTCAAAGTCAAAAAAGGTCAAAAAGGTCTTTTTTCAACTTGCTTCAAATTGACTAAATTTTTTTTTCAAAATCATCTACATGTTCTCAGAAATTCAAATCTGACTTTAGATTTGACATTTGACATTCAATGACCTTCTCAATGTCAAAAAAGGTCAAAAAGGTATTTTTTCATCTTGCTTCAAATTGACTAAATTTTTTTTCAAAATCATCTACATGTTCTCAGAAATTCAATAATGTCTTTAGATTTGACATTTGACCTTCAATGACCTTGTCAAGGTCAAAATAGGTCAAAAAGGTCTTTTTTCAACTTGCTTCAAATTGACTAATTTTTTTTTTCAAAATCATCTACATGTTCTCAGAAATTCAAATCTGACTTTAGATTTGACATTTGACATTCAATGACCTTCTCAATGTCAAAAAAGGTCAAAAAGGTATTTTTTCATCTTGCTTCAAATTGACTAAAATTTTTTTCAAAATCATCTACATGTTCTCAGAAATTCAAATATGACTTTAGATTTGACATTTGACCTTCAATGACCTTGTCAAGGTCAAAAAAGGTCAAAAAGGTCTTTTTTCAACTTGCTTCAAATTGACTAATTTTTTTTTTCAAAATCATCTACATGTTCTCAGAAATTCAAATCTGACTTTAGATTTGACATTTGACCTTTAATGACCTTCTCAAGGTCAAAAAAGGTCAAAAAGGTCTGTTTTCAACTTGCTTCAAATTGACCAAATTTTTTTTTCAAAATCATCTTCATCTTTTCAGAAGTTCAAATTTGACTTTACAAGTTCTCAGAAATTCAAATCTGACTTAAGTTTGAACTCATAATATTGTGAGCAACTAGGTGGTGACATTTTGTCATGTTAATGCCTTGTTTTTTGATGGTACAGATTTGGAAGGAATCTGGATTATTTTAGAACTTTCCTACCTTTCTAAATAGAATATTTTATTCTCTGTTCAAACTTGATTTCAATAATCTTCATCTGTATGTAGTATATAGATTACTTTGTGTGTTATCATGTACTCTGGTGGATCTCTTTAAATTGTTTACAAAAACAGATATGTTAGGGTAACAAAATGTCCCATCCTCGGAGGTCCGATTTTTCTTTTTACGAAGGCCCCCCACAAAGTGGGCGGAGCCATTCGTTCTATGGACCGACTGTCGACCAGTCACGTGACCAAAAGTCCGCCATTATTACCTTATATGGCAAATCATCAAAGCAACGATCACGACGTCATATGTTTTGTTTGTGATGAAGATATGGCGTAATATAACATAAACTATGACATCAGTTACTTATTGCCCTATCAACTAAATAGACAAGAAAGCTAAACGTCACACATCACAGTGTTTATTATATTTTAATTTGTGACGTCATTAACATGTTACCTAGCAAACAGAAAACAAGCAGTAAAATGTAGATTGTTCATTGTCTTTATCCGTGGTATTTCCATAAAAAGTGGATCAGTTTTGTCAAAATAGCATTATGGTCTTCGTATTTTTCTAGTGTCATTTTCACTTGATTTTCTTGTTCCATGAATTCATGAATTCTGGCCGAATCTACATGATCTTTTTGGCATAAAACTGTGTCAGCATCATATGTTTAAAACCTAAGCATTTGTGAATGAATAATTCACAACCACCAGAATCATTGATGTAATTCCTCACTTTTGTGTCGTAAATGGAAAGTTAGAAATGGTTAAAATCTGCACTTTCAACTGTTCCATTTACGTAAAAATAGTGAGGAATAATTATCCCACCGAACGAAGTTCGAGGGGGATATAGGAAAGCCGTCCGTTCGTTTGTCCAGGTGATAACTCAAGTACCGGTTGACAGATTTGATTCAAATTTTATAGGCTTATGCCTAATGGGGGTAGAACCTCTGCTCGAGAAGGAATTTTCAATATGGCCGCTAAATTCAAAATGGCCACCATTTTTCGTAAAAATATAATCTTTAATAACTCAAATGCTAGTCCATGGATTTGGTTCAAATTTTATATGCTGATGCCTAGGGACGAAGGAGCTACGCTGAAGAAGAGATTTTCAAAATGGCTGCTAAATATCAAAATGGGGCCATTTTTCGTATAAAAAACGTAATCTTTACAGCATTGTTTTTTGATGGTACAGATTTGGAAGGAATCTGGATTATTTTAGAACTTTCCAACCTTTCTAAATACAGTAAAACCTGCGAACAGGGAATGCTCTTCGGACTGGAGGAAAGTTTCCTTGTTCAGAGGTTTTCACTATAGAGAGGGGCCGCACTTTCAGCAAACTCAGAATTGCCGAATAAGCATTTTTTGTATATATTTGGGCATTTATTGATTTTAACAAATCCGACTCCATACTTGGTTGCTAGACCTTGTTGTGACATCTTGGAAGATTTATGAAGATCTCCAAACTCCTTTAGCTGAGGGTAAGGAGCATTCTCCCAATGTTGATTTTAGCTGCTGCTGTTGGCGTATGATGATGTCTAGTTGTTGTAATTGTTGATAGATTTGGCTCAACATGACACATGTACTTATCTGTTATCTCCATAAAACAATTGAGTCAATCCCTAGATTATCACAACTGATTTGATGTAATATTATGTTTGTTGAAAGGAAGAATTAGTGTCATGATAATTAGTAACAAACAGATTAGTATTAGTTTTAAAATATATCAGGGTAATTAACAGTGGGTGGGATGCTACATTTTGTAAACAATTGGCTTATCATAATCTCAATCATATTAATCCAAGCTTTTTAGAATCAGATATTGGCTTAAGACTTTCACACCTCTGAAAAATAATGTAATATACAGTGTCACCAATATTCCATATTCCTTGTTCACAGGTGAATTTTCATAATTTGCACCAAATAGTGTTCCTTGTTCCCTGTTCACAGGTTTTCCCTACAGAGAGGGTCCGTTAACATGGAAGTCAATGGAAAAATATTTGGTTCTTTTGAAAAGCATTCCTTGTTCATAGGTTTTCCCTACAGAGAGGTATTCCACCGGACAGGTTTTACTGTAGAATATTTTATTCTCTGTTCAAACTTGATTTCAATAATCTTCATCTGTATACAGTATATAGATTACTTTGTGTGTTATCATGTACTTTGGTGGATCTCTTTAAATTGTTTACAAAAACAGATATGTTAGGGTAACAAAATGTCCCATCCTCGGAGGTACGATTTTTTCTTTTTCCATGAATTCATGAATTCTGGCCGAATCTACATGATCTTTTTGGCATAAAACTGTGTCAGCATCATATGTTTAAAACCTAAGCATTTGTGAATGAATAGTTCACAACCACCAGAATCATTGATGTAATTCCTCACTTTTGTGTCGTAAATGGAATGTTAGAAATGGTTAAAATCTGCACTTTCAACTGTTCCATTTACGGAAAAATAGTGAGGAATAATTATCCCACCGAACGAAGTTCGAGGGGGATATAGGAAAGCCGTCCGTTCGTTTGTCCAGGTGATAACTCAAGTACCGGTTGACAGATTTGATTCAAATTTTATAGGCTTATGCCTAATGGGGGTAGAACCTCTGCTCGAGAAGGAATTTTCAATATGGCCGCTATATTCAAAATGGCCACCATTTTTCGTAAAAATATAATCTTTGATAACTCAAATACTAGTCCATGGATTTGGTTCAAATTTTGTATGCTGATGCCTAGGGACGAAGGAGCTACGCTGAAGAAGAGATTTTCAAAATGGCTGCTAAATATCAAAATGGGGCCATTTTTCGTATAAAAAACGTAATCTTTACAGCATTGTTTTTTGATGGTACAGATTTGGAAGGAATCTGGATTATTTTAGAACTTTCCTACCTTTCTAAATAGAATATTTTATTCTCTGTTCAAACTTGATTTCAATAATCTTCATCTGTATACAGTATATAGATTACTTTGTGTGTTATCATGTACTCTGGTGGATCTCTTTAAATTGTTTACAAAAACAGATATGTTAGGGTAACAAAATGTCCCATCCTCGGAGGTACGATTTTTTCTTTTTCCATGAATTCATGAATTCTGGCCGAATCTACATGATCTTTTTGGCATAAAACTGTGTCAGCATCATATGTTTAAAACCTAAGCATTTGTGAATGAATAGTTCACAACCACCAGAATCATTGATGTAATTCCTCACTTTTGTGTCGTAAATGGAATGTTAGAAATGGTTAAAATCTGCACTTTCAACTGTTCCATTTACGGAAAAATAGTGAGGAATAATTATCCCACCGAATGAAGTTCGAGGATATAGGAAAGCCGTCCGTCCGTTCATTTGTCCAGGTGATAACTCGAGTACCGGTTGACGGATTTGATTCAAATTTTATAGGCTTATGCCTTATTGGGGTAGAACCTGTGCTCGAGAAGGAATTTTCAATATGGCTGCTAAATTTAAAATGCCCACGATTTTTCGTAAAAAATATGATCTTTGATAAATCAAATACTAGTAGACAGATTAGGTTCAAATTTGATATGCTGATGCAAGAAGAGATTTTCAAAATGGCTGCTAAATATCAAAATGAGGGCCATTTTTCGTATAAAAAAATAATCTTTGATAACTCAAATACCAGTGAACAGATTAGGTTCAAATTTTATATGATGAAGCCTAGGGACAAAGTATACTTGTTCAAGAAAGAATTTCCAAGATGGTAACTGATTTTAAAAGTGGCTGCCATTTTTCATAAAAAAAAACATAATCTTTGATAACTCAAATACTAGTTGACAGATTTGCTTCAAATTTTATATGCTGATGTCCAAGGAAAAAGGAGCTACACTGAAGAAGAGATTTTTGGAATGGCTGCTCAATATCGAAATGGCTGCAAATTTTCGTAATCTTTGATAACTCAAATACCAGTGAACGGATTTGGATCAAATTGTACATGATGATGCCTAGAGAATTTTTAAGATGGCAGCTGAATTTTAAAATGGCAGCCATTTTTGTAAAAAAATGTAATCTTTGGTAACTTAAATAGCAGTGAATGGATTTTGTTCAAATTTTATATGCTGATGCCTAGGGACACTGTTGCCCTGTTCGAGAAAGATTTTCAAAATGGCGGCTGAATTTCAAAATGGTGTCTCATGATCTATTCATTCGCAAATGATTAGATTATCTTTTCTGCCTACATCTCCTGAAATAATAGAAAAAGAAAAATTGTACATCCAAGGCTGCGACATTTTGTTACTGAAACAGATCCGTTTTCGTAACCAATAGACCTTTCCACTAAATCCTGCCATCTTTTGATAGATCAAAGTATATATGATATGGTGGCTAGAGAGATGATGCCATATGTTGTTCTTTTTCAAAATTAGCAATAAGTAAATCATATTTTTGCTTGAACAGACTGCTACTAACAACCAATGACATCTTCAATCAAGCCAATATATCCTAGCTTCTTTCACCTACAAAAGGTGGCAGGATTAATTGAAAAGGTCTATTGTAACCAAGAGTTCAACCACAGTGATGAAGGCTAGATTCAAAATCATTTTCATTCCAGCTCCCCCTCTTGTACCAACACCACCCCCTATTGAAACAAAGCCAAAAGACCCTTCCATGCCTATCTACGATGTAACACCTCTTCCTGTCGCATATAGTAAGTCTAAAAATGAACTTTTTGCTTTAAATATTTTCATATTTAAGATATTTTGTGGGTTGTGAATGAGGTGTTGAATGATTTTTGAATATCTTTATAAAATATCTTTTACTGTATTATTGATTGGTTTTATTGGTTTGATTTATTTTAGCATCTCCTCCCAGTGATTCACAGCCCTTAGGAACCATGGTAATTCTTGGAATCATAGCAGGTGTTCTGGTGGTTATTTCTTGTCTCATAGGTGGCGCTGTGTGTTGGTACAGAAAGAAAATACATGGTAAGAAAGTCTGTGCACCTAAAAATTTATGTCTTGTCCTCTCCAATCCATTCCTCAATTTTGAGTACATTTAATGACTTGTGTTGTTTTGTTATCATTTCTTCCCAAGATGACATCTTATTTTGTGTTTAAAATGTGGCGTTATTCTTGTGCATCACACTTCATGTTTAATTTACATTTGTGGTATATATACTTCACATTTTTAAAATAAAACTTACAGGCTGGTGGTCATTTTCAACATTGCTCAGCTGCCATCTTTAAGACCTTTACATTTTACATTGTAAGTATTATTTTTCAGATGCAACTACCATTTTGAGTGACAGCAGCATTCCACAAGCTACAGAGAGTTACTTAGGTGAAGTATATTCATAAAATATCCTATATTTCATACAGAATTGTTCAAATATAACTTTTGGAAAAAACCTTGAATGGTTTCAATCATAACCGGGCTTTCTAGCATTAAATTCATTTGAATCGAATTTTGAAATAACTGGAATGCCATACAGCTATGTGGTCAAAGGAAAGATAAATATCTATTGAGAATGTGTTCACATTTCTTCAAAATCTAGAATCTCGAGAATGCAAAAACCTTGAAATGTGAAAACCTAACCTGAACGCTTTTAGCCGGTCCAAATGACGTTCGGATTAGACAGGTTTTACTGTGTATAGTCTACCATTGGTTTATCTCTGTATCAAGATATATATCAAGATTGCAAAAATGATTTCTTAGATATTAATATAAAAATAATATATGACTTATATGAACAATTCAGTGACCATGTACACTTTAAAAACATATTTAAGGTGTTTGTTTAATTTCTTTTCAGATGACGATGTAGCCTTGTTGCCCTGCAGCCTTGCACGGCCTAAGGTCATAATAGTTTACTATCCAGACACGGCTCTACATGTTAAGGCTGTTGATAAACTTTCTACATTCCTCAACACATGTTGCTCAATAAACTGTTCAACTTTACCAAGAACTAATGGTACTACTGGCTCTTATGAAGGGCAAACTGTGAAATCCATTGCTCAAATGGATAAAATTATTGTGGTCAACTCTGAAGGTGCAAAATGTGAATTCTATGCAGAAGATGAATCTCAGTCCTCTGTGGCTTTCAAAGAAGCCTTGGGTTATATTCTTACGTTGACTGATGATGTCATAAGGAGTAAGGTTGTTATGTGCAGGTTTGAGTACACATCGCCGCAGAATGTCCTCGATGACCTCATGTTTTATACATTTGACAACGCAATACCTCAAGATATCAACAAATTCTTGCAGCATCTTCAACAGTCCAATATTGGTCAGAGGGATTCTCCATTTTCAGACCAATATCGTGACACTCGTGTAAATCTCCATGACACACCACAAGGTGTTGACCTACTTAAGGCTATCAAAGATGTGACAAATACACTACAAACTCTTGATAGTCAAACCAGATCTGATGTTGGAGATCAACTCAACTCAATAGATTCTGCATACATATCCTGGAACGTGAATGAACCCTATTGGGAAAAAACTCAATGGAAGGAACCCAAGTTGACTGATCATGAGGACAATTTGTCCTGGCACACCGATCCAGGCTGGGATCAAGATTCCAATGTGAATTCTGATTTATATAAGTGGAGCCCTAAGCCTCCTAGGGCTGTTTAAGTGTCAGAGCTCCATCAGTTGGCCCCTATTAATTATAAATACATTTTTAAATACAGATACGCAGGTCTTGTGCCCTCTCTTCAGGATCGATCAATAGATCAATGTATACATAGTATATTTTATGTACAGTTTGAATACTGGCTTAGTAGTTCACATTTTTATGAGATGTGAGCCCACCAAAACCTGAATAACAAATACTTTTGGCTGGACCAGGAGGTGCTCAGATTTGATGTGTTTTAATGCACTGGGTATATTTGTGATTTTAAGTTGATTTTTGTGTTAGACCCTTACAATTTAAATCTCTGTTTAGCATTTCTTACCTTTACATTCCCTTTCATTTTATTTTTATTTTGACATGTATTTTGCTGTTTTATTTAAAGTAAAAGGTAAAATCCTGGTTACCTTGTTAATTTTCTCTCAACATTCCTGCTAAACAGACATTTAACCTGGAGTGGCCTTATTGACTGATGTTTTGTTTGTTATCGACTGCACACTGTATTATTTTTATATCAGATTTTTACTCATGATCTTGTTACATGCTTTAGTTATTTTATATACTTGTTGGTATTAGTTCATATAAAATATTACTATACCAAATTTGGTTAAATATATTTTTATGGTGTGGTTCTTCAATATGAATAAACCATATTTCATGGCTCTATTGAGACAAGGTACTTATATTCTATAGCATCTAGATATAGAATCTTAAATAATTATCATTCATAGTTATTGGCACGATGCTGACTGAATGACTTAGATTGCCATGAAAAATGAAAAAAATAATTCTACACATTATGTTAATAGAAAAAATAATGAAATTATACTGTAAACATATATTGTACTTTTCAATGATGAGATTAATCTTATTAAAAGGAATGGCATAAATTTATTATTTTTATATATATTTTACATATTAGATCTGAGAATTTTAGTTTTTGAAGTTTTTATGGATTGAGTTCAGAAGACAAGACTTACCATGGGCTTTCTAGAAAAAGTTCTGTACAAAGAACAATATTCAATACAAACTCAAATTTTATAGCTTTTAGTCACCTCAATATAAAGGATAGTTAACTGATCATGTATATGTTGCTTTAAAGCTTGCTTAGAATGTTTAAAGAAGTGTGCTTCATACAGAACTTCACATTGGTTTCATGAGATTTTACTCCGTAAATGTTCATTCTTATACAATATACATGGGAAATTTTCTTCTGAACAATTTAAAGAAATGTGCAGGTTCTTCACATTATTACTTTAATTAATGAGATTCTATTCAATATATATGTCTATTATGTATATATGAGTATGTATACCATATGTATTACTATACAGGAAATTTTCTTTTGGTCAATTTAGTTAATTATTTTTTGCATGCAATATAATTACACCTTTATGCATCGTAATAATGGGAATATTGCTGCATCTATCTTTAAGTTTATCATTGTATGTATGAATCATATGACAGAATCATATTTTTGAAGCATGTGCGAAATAAAATTTCCTGTATAGAAAGTTGTTGAAATTATACAGGGAATAATAAACACATTGTAAGTGTGTGTATTTGTTATTAGAGGAATTCATTCCAATATGCTTCAGGTTAAACTTGTTTGAATATTTTATTCGACTCCATATTTAAAGCTTTCTTGGTGCATCTCCATGATAAAATTCTTCTATTGCTTTGTTTTATGAAATAAAAGTCAAATAAATGCTTTTTTAATGATATTCAATGGGATTTTCATGACTTAATGCAGGCATTACATAGAAAGCGACCCGAGATGCAATTTCTCTTCCACTTGGACAATTCCCTCTCCCATACAGCTGCCATAATCACTAAAAAATTGAGCAGCTGAGATTAGAACAACTCAAGCATCAACCTTATTCACCCAACCTAGCGCCAAATGATTTATACTTCTTTGCTGAATCAAAATGGGACTTAATGAGGACAAACATTTGAGAATACTCATGTAATACGTTCAAATGTGTTAAACAGACTTCAGGAAATGAGTCAAGAAGAATTCTGTGAAATATTTGAAGAAGGTTCAAGAGGCAAAGAGGTTGTGTCTAGAATGTGGGAAATTATGTAGAATAAATTGATAAATTGGCAAAGAATGTCAGGCTTATAGTTATAACTATGTTTAAGCATCCATTTTAAGTCATAGACATGATAGGATCTCTTTTTAAAACATGCAAATATACTGTAGTTATTCCACCTGCCCCGCCTTAGTACTACTCGCTTTGCTAAGACAACCACAGAATCAACCAATCAAATCGCCTGAAGCTGAAACTCCAACAATAAGTTAAAATATGTTAAAACTATAATCTCTGAAACTTTCAATGCAATCCTTGAATAAATAAAAAAGTTATGACATTATTATCTTAATTTCCTGAACACCCTGTACATGTTACTTGTACACTGAATTTCACTTTCTTATCTAATAAAGAACTAGCTTACACCTAATGATGTCATTTGCTTCTTATTTTCTTATAGTAGAAATATGTGGCACAACCCAGAATTGTGTTTTAGCACATTTCCATGTTTTAGTGCAAAGTTGAATGTAAACACCTCAGAAATCTTTTGGGAATATTGTTCTCAATTAGATTTTCTCAAATGAGATATCATGTCTCAAGGAACATTGTAAAGCATGTTTAAAGGGTAATGGATATCGTTTAGCAAATGGGACGCTCGTTTTTTGGTGTTGCTCACCGTTTAGTATAAAAAAACTGACCATTTTACATTTGCCTGCATAAGCACCTCCTATGGTATTCCTCATAATACTATTATAGGTTTTCACAAAACTGCCAACTTGGCTAAATTGATCATAGGCGAAGCGTACTCCCCCCCCCCATATCCAATAAAAATTCAACCATTAAATAGAAGGAGAAAGGAACTTTAAAATACTTTTTATTTGCAGCTTCTAGCTCAATTTTGAAGGAAAATGCATCAATTTTTTAATTCATACCGGATCGCAACCTCCCTGAATGAAAACCAATTTTTTTCCATTGAATCTAAAAATAGCCGTGCACTTGTTTGTAATTTTATGGATGCAGATTACTTGAAATACTGTATTCTGATATTGGCTAGAATTTGAATTCTTCATCCTAGTGAAAAGCATAACAGAGAATAGGTCTAGTGAGGAAAGCAATCACATTCATTCACCCTTCCTCATTCAGTAGACCATTGAAGACTTTTTGGTAAACACTTGGTGGAAGGAGATTTGGGGTACTCCCATATATTGGCTATATGGGGACATGCCGCTAAATTTGGTCACTTTTTCGCCGGAAAATCCCTAGATGTGGGTCCCATTTTAAAGAAAAAACGACATATGGGTCCCATTTTCAATGAAAAAATCCCTAGAACTGTGTCTACTTTTTGAACAATCCGAAAAAAAATCGCCAGAAGTGGGTCTTGTTTTTTAAGATTACCTTGAAGTGGGTCTATTTTTGAAATAAAAACCCTAGATGTGGGTCCATTTTTAGAGAAAAAAATCCCTAGATGTGGGTAGATATTTTGAGTCTCAGCGGCACCCCCCCTGTACAAAAATTTGACCAGTACACCCCCCTGGGCAATTTTCATATAACGCTTAAAGGTCTGATAGCTATATAAACTAAAACATGTACAGTAAAAGATATGATATTATTCACCGAATACAACAAAAGATATTTCACTTGTTGTGGTTTTGGAACATGGGGTCTATGGGGAATCTCCCCAAGCTAGAAGTCACACTTATAAGTTTATAAGTTTTAAAAAGAAAAATTAAATTTTCAAAGTTGGTGAATACCTTTCTAGATGCAATTGACATACATGTACACTTCAAATCAGCATATTCTGCCACAACCAACATTGTGTTCTAGTTCCAACATTCATTTATAGAGGTCAGACGGATATGTTAATTGGATTAGTCACGTGACACTTGAACTAGAGCCAAAACAACTAATCATAACAAAGTATCGTGGCAGGAAAAAGCTGCAGATTTCCTTTTTAATCGTGGAAGACCTCTGTTTGAACGATGGCTTCGACTCATAAGGAAGAAAAGGAAGACACATTGAATGGTAAGACATCGTATCAACTTTCAATAGTAGAACAGAACAGCTCTAATTTTGATGCGTAGATAAAACTATTCAGAAAAATTCTACTCCGCCATTTTATCAGCTGATTCAAATTTATATTTTAATTTGAAATTTTCGCATATATGTGGAGTAGATCCTTTGATCAATATTATACAATATAAATTCAGTATTATATCTTTAAAATGAGACCAAATGAGTAAGGGTTCGATATAATATAGACGGTGTTGTTCTCATTTCATTTTGTAAACAAACACTGTTTTTGGATCTGTCTGAGCTGATTTATTTACTAAACACTCCAACGGGCTGATATATTGACCTAGATTATCATACTGGATGGGCGTGGTCTAGAATCCATATACCTGTACTTTGTAACATACAGGCCAGTAGCCAAGGGGGGCTTCGCAGGGTTCGGGCGAACACCCCCCGGCCAAAAATTCTTTCAAATTTATGCAGTTTTTCACCATTTTGAGCACTTCTCAAGTGATTTTAGCCATATTTTAGCCAAAATTGTCAAATGTGGACCCCCCTGGAAATTGAAAACTGAACCCCCCTTGGCAAATCCTGGCTATGGGCCTGACATGTAACACAGTTCTGCTTCACATACATTTGTGTTCCCACGCACAGGACCACCACCACGCGTAGCACCAAAAGGGCAGGGAGAATGGGAGGGCGTTGGAAAGTACATTACAGTTATAATATCCTTGTACATGTACCAGGTCATTCAATAAGTTCGTGAAAAAATGCTCTCATTTCGAAGATCCTTCATATTTCATCATAAAATTTTCACACAATGTACAAAAAATACTTTCCGATTGATTCTTAAACATCAGTATCTTTAATTTGATTGGTCAAAAATAAGGATTACTGTAACTTGACTTTTGGGTAGAGGAGGCACCCTTTACGTCACATTATTCAACAGAATAGTATAGGCAGTTTATGAGTATATCACATGAATTTCTTCTCTGCCTCCATAGGCGTAGCGCCTGGTACGCTGGGTACGGACAGGCTACCAGATGGTTGCAAATTTGCTCCAAATACAACCAAATTTCAAATTTTTCCTGGGGGAGAACCCCCAGAGACCCCCTAAACGCTGTTTTTTGCTTTTCTCAACTCTTGTTCCCACTGTGGCGTACTACATAGAAATATAGCGCTACGCCCATGGCTTCCTACTTGTACATGATATTACTTATATATTATTACTTATGATATTTCTTATGATAGTCACAACTATTGTCCCAGAAGGTTTTAGAAATATTCTTCCTCATGTTTAATGCACAGTCGCTTGCATTCAACCCATTTGTGATACAGTGCTCTGAAGCCATTTGGAAAACTTGTTTGAAGGACCATCTGGACTGCAGTCAAAAGTTGTTGCATTGTTCAATAAAGTGCACCTCTTAGTTGATCCATCATCCTAGTGAAAACAGCAAAATCAAGGATTGTCTCATCTGGAGAGTATGGTACTTGGGGAAGCTTGACCATCTAATTGTGTGACATAAAAAGTGCCCCGCCTACCCCGGCAAAAGTCAAGTCACCAAAGTAACCCTTATGTTTGACCAATCAGATTAGAGATGTTGATATTTTAAGAATCATAAAGTATATTTTATACATTGTGTGAAAATTTCATGAGAAAATATCAAAAATCTTTGAAATTAGAGCATTTTTCCATGAACTTATTAATTTTACTTGTTCAATATGTAAGTATAAAGTCAATGGACTTGGTTCCCAGTGCTACAAGCTCCTGATGTTCCATCATGATAAACCATGACATCTCATTTCTTCTAAGCCCTGAGATGTTTCAGGTGAAACAGAAAGATGCTATGAGTATCAGAATGCTGATGTTCCAAGAAGAGGGATAACCTAGAATTTAAAGATTAACCATTCTTTGTGTAAACTTGGTTCTAGAGTTCCATCTTAATACATAAAGATAAGTTCATATATGAGTTCTGGGTTACCCCTTTCTGTATCCCCAGGGTTGTTTTGCACAATGTGTTATTCTTACCATGGGCTTTTAAGCCCATGTTCTTACCTTTTTGATGCTAGATCAAAATTTCCACTGATCTGTTATAATCACAATAAGTAAATAATGAATTATTATGTAAATGTGTCTTTGATATCGAATTTAATGCTTACATGTTTGATTGCAATAATTATAATCATGCAAAGACGCAATACATGTATGTCAATAAAAGTCATTTATATATCATTACATCCTGAACAAATAAACCAAGATTACAGAGATTTTCTTGAAATGTGTTCCAAACATCATGTTGTTTACTAACCTAATTAATAAGATTTCAGTTAAAGATAAAATACAAATACACATGTATATGAGAATACCCCTCCCCATGTTTTACCTTTTAAAACTTATGAACTAATCAAATTTTCCAGAATGTGGCTCACACTTGGGATGTTGATTCATAAATGTAGTTTACATCTCTATTGTATAAGACTGACAATGCAAAATATATTTAGTCAAATTACTAATTTTACAACATTTACAACGGAGAGTGTGCAGCTGATAAAAAATACCAACTTTCCAAGCTGAACTTATTAATTCAAGAAAGCTAAATGACCTAGATATATGAAATCTTTAAATTTAATGATTATACTGGATAAAAACTATGATCAGTAGATTTTTTTAAACAGGGCATCTTGATTTTCTAGTCTGATCCAAATGTGTTTTTTTTATCCGGACATGCATCTTAAAGTACTTTGGATCTGGATGTAGTGGTATAGCCTTCCAGATCTAATCCAGCTCTATATCTTCCCAGGGTCTAGTTCATTTGATACATGATCTCCAGAGGATTGTGTTATTACTTCTAGATTGCTTCTAAAGTACTCTTCGCAAGAGCTCAACTTCATCTACATTGTTCCCTCTTAAATTATAGGCATTTAATTATCCCATCGAACGAAGTTCGGAGGGATATAGGGAACGCCTCCGTCCGTCCGTCCGTACGTACGTACGTACGTCTGTACGTACGTCCGTCCGTCCGTCCATCCGTCTGTCCGTCCGTCCGGGCAATAACTCAAATACGGTTGGCCAGATTTTGTTCATATTTTGTACACATATACCCTATGGGGTTAGAAGTTCTGCTCGGAAGCCGATTTTCAAAATGGCCGCTCATTTCAAAATGGCGGCCATTTTAGTGACGATTTTACAGTAATTTAGGTGCAATATGTAAACTGTAATAGCAATATGTTTTAAATGTAAAAAAATTATAAAGGACGTTAATAATGCTACAAATGTAGATATTAAAGAAGCACATGGCAGCCATCTTGAAAAATGGCGGCCTTTACTCGTCATTTTACGATTTTTGCTGTAACTCAAAAAGTAGTGGAGCGATTTTGTTCATATTTGGTATGTGGATACTATAAGCATTGCACACTGTCTAAAGACACTTTTGGTAGAAGGTGGCCATTTTTCAAAATGGCCGCCATTTTAACGTATTTTACTATAACTCGAAAAGTAGTGGAGCGATTTTGTTCATATTTGGTATGTGAATACTATAAGCATGGCACACTGTCCTATGACACTTTTGGTAGAAGGCGGCCATTTTGAAAACAATTTTGAAAAATGGCCGCCATTTTAACGTATTTTACTATAACTCGAAAAGTAGTGGAACGATTTTGTTCATAATTGATATGTGAATACTTTAAGCATGGCACATTGTCTAATAAAACTTTAGGGAGTAGTCGGCCATTTTAAAAAATAGCCACCATTTTTATGTGTGTTATTTTACAAGCATGTGTGCGATTTTTCAAAAATTTTAGAGGTGGCTACTTAAAAGCATATTATTTCTTCTGATGACAACTTGGCTAGTGAGCAACCATTTTGAAAATGGTGGCCTTTCTGGTGTGTTGTTTTATGATATTTGCGCTTCGTTTGTAAAAATGCCAGCCATTTCTGTTCGATGGGATTCGCTACGCTTTGGCGTTGCCGTTGTTCTGGTTGATCTAACCATATATATCAGTCATTAAAATTAAAATCACAACTGTGTATCCATAGTTTTTATTTCACCAACTCCCATATAACCAATGAAGGGTACATTTAAGATTTTTAAGATTACATCTGCTTCAAAAGTGTAATAAAAGTCAGAGGGTGGTATACCAAATTGATGAGTATTCAGGGTATTTCTGAAGTTGATGAGATATCTTATACATGGGGCATATAATCTCATTATCCTCATCAATGTAATGAATATTGTGCAATCAACCATTTAATCTGTTTTTACAAATATCTACCAGTAACCAATTTTCTTCATATTTGGTAAAAAGATATACGATATTATATTAGTGGTGAAATGGTTTTGTGCAAAAGTACATTTTGGAATGAAACAGTGAGTTTAAGATTCTCAACTCAAACCTAACTAAAACATGTATCATTATGTATGATATGTTGATGGAGTATGTTTTATTAGAACTACTGCTTTTCTTCAGTTTTCAGTGTTTTGCATCTAATTAAGGGGAGGCATCAAAAGTTCGATGTCTGATAGGAAACTAAATAAATTTAGTTAGGGGGAGGGGGTTTAAACCTATTTCAGTTTGCTATCTGACAAATTTCAACATTTCAAATTTTTGGCTATTTCGACTCAGATTTCCTTGGAATGGTTTAAAAATAAAGATTTCACCTGATGCTTTCTTCGTCAAGATCATTAGATTGTGTTTAGCAATAATTTTTCATATTCTCGAACCGGAAGTCAGCGATCAACTTTCATGGTATTTAGTTTTGGGGGAGGGGGGGGTCAGAGTCAAAACTAGATTTATTTAGTTTCCGATCCGACATCGAACTTTTGATGCCTCCCCTTATTGTTGTTACATTTAGTGCTAGTGCACTAACTTTGTTAATTGCTACCAGGTGGTGACATTTTGTCATGTTAAACCTTGACTAACATAAAATGTTACATCATTGACACTGAAATCATGGAAAGATACATTTAGGTGCGGAAACTCATTTTTATCAATTAGCGATAAATTTGATTGTGTATAAACATCAAGTGCTTTGCTACATCTATAGGACTGTTCGTGAGCTGATGATTGGGATGGAGCTTTGGGTAGTATAAGCTTGGCTGTCTCTGTCGTCAGGCTTGTGACTGACCTTTGGCTGGTTTAAGATCTTTGATGGTACCAACACTCCCATTCCAGAGACTGAAGCTTTGGGACATTTCATTTGGTGGTTGAAGAATGATGGAAAACTTCTTCGTTTTATTGGTGGGTCCATTTGTCACGTCTTCTTATCCAGAGCCACCTGGAGCACGATTCTGAAAATGCTCCAATTTCTCTCATTGCTCGTCTGAGTTGGCTAGAATGTACCCCAATGTCTTTGAACAATGAGCGTAGAGACAAAGCTGGGAAGCCCCTGCATTCTACTTCTACAGGGTATAGTCTTGCTTGCCATCCTTTGCTCTGGGCTTCATGGATTAGATCTTGGTATTTGTTGTACTTGAGTTGGTGGGATATGTCTATTCTTTCCTCCCATGGTACTGTAAGTTCTATCACTAGTATGGTCTTAGAACTTTCTGATAAAAGTAGCATGTCAGGACGTAGTGTTGTTGCTACTATGTTCTGAGGAAAGATTAACTTCTTATCCAGGTCGACATGCAATTTCCAATCAGAGGCCTTAGACAGTGACGAGAGAGGAATTGATGGGTCTGTATTCTTAGTCCTTGGAGTTGGTTGCTTTCCCTCCAGTTGAAATGCTGTGAATATGGGCTTTGTGGGGACGAAGTGTGTTCTAGCTCTGTCGACCCATTCAGCAATTTTCTGTAGGACTTTGTCGTGTCGCCATCTGTACCGGCCTTCACTCAGTGCTGTCTGGCAGCTGCTCAGGATGTGGGTTAGGGTACATCTGGGTATTTTGCATAGAGGGCATGTGTTGTCATTTTCAAGGCCCCAAGTGCTTAGGTTCGTTGGAGTTGGTAAAAGGTCAGTAAAGGCGCGCAATATAAAGCTGAGGCTTGCTTGGTCAACTGTCCAAAGATCTTTCCATGTAGGAGATCTTTCCATGATTGATTCCCATTGGGTCCAGTTTCCCTGCTTGGAAAGCCCCACTGCTTTTACAAGGTGTTCTTCTTCCTGCGCTTTACGCGTTTGCTTTACCAGGCGGTCTTTCTTTGCTTTTGGAGTCTTTTCTAATAGCTTGGAACCATAATTGCCTAAGCCTAATCGACCTTGGCAAACAACTCCAACTATCTGCTCATGTCGCTCCCGTTCGTCTGCTTCTGCTATTGCTTGCTGAGGTTTCCATTTCCTTCCAGTTGATATTGATTCTCCTGAGGAAAGGACCTTGGGATCCTTGGACGTCCGAAGGGTTGTAATGGCCCTGACTTTGGCCACCTCAAATTCCTCCACCAGTGATAATTATCATTTATCGATAATTTTTATCAATTAGCGATAAATTTGATAAATATCAATTTTAGCTGATATTATCAGCTAATGCTAATTTCATATGTGCCTTTCACTTTTATCAATTAGCGATAAATTTGATAAATATCATTTATCGATAATTTTTATCAATTAGCGATAAATTTGATAATTATCAATTTTAGCTGATATTATCAGCTAATGCTAATTTCATATGTGCCTTTCACTTGTACCATTAGCGATAAATTTGATAATTATCAATTATCGATAAATTTTATCAATTAGCGATAAATTTGATAAATATCAATTATCAATAAATTTGATAATTTTGATACATGGCAGACATGAAATTAGCATTAGCTGATAATATCAGATAAATTTGCTAATTATCAACATTGAACATAACATTGACTCCAGACCCAACATTTTTTTAGCGATAAAAGCGATAGTTTTGATAATTATCAAATTTATCACTTTTAGCTGATATTATCAGCTAATGCTAATTTACCTGGTGCTATTTTCTATGAACATCACCTCCAGACCCAAAATTTTTTAGCGATAAAAGCTCCAGACCCAAATTTTTTTTAGCGATAAAAGAGATAGTTTTGATAATTATCAAATTTATCACTTTTAGCTGATATTATCAGCTAATGCTAATTTACCTGGTGCCATTTTCTATGAACATCACCCCCAGACACAAAATTTTTTAGCGATAAAAGCTTCAGGCCCAAATTTTTTAGCCATAAAAGCAATACTTTCAACAAATATCAAATTTATCACTTTTAGCTGATATTATCAGCTAATGCTAATTTACCTAGTGCCATTTTCTCTGAACATCACCTCCAGACCCAAATTTTTTAGCGATGAAAGCTCCAGACCCAAAATCTTTTAGCGATAAAAGCGATAGTTTGGATAATTATCACTTTTAGCTGATATTATCAGCTAATACTAATTTGCCTGGTGCCATTTTCTCTGAACATCACCTCCAGACCCAAAATTTTTTAGCAATAAAAGCGCCAGACCCCAAAAATTTTTAGTGATAAAAACGATAGTTTCGATAAACATAAAATTTATCACTTTTAGCTGATGTTATCAGCTAATGCTAATTTATCTGGTGCCATTTTCTCTGAACATCACCTCCAGACCCAAAATTTTTTAGCTATAAAAGCGATAGTTTTGATAATTATCAAATTTATCACTTTTAGCTGATATTATCAGCTAATGCTAATTTACCTAGTGCCATTTTCTCTGAGCATCACCTCCAGACCCAAATTTTTTTAGCGAAAGCGCCAAACCCCAAAAATTTTTAGCGATAAAAGCGATAGTTTCGATAATTTTCAAATTTATCACTTTTAGCTGATATTATCAGCTAATGCTAATTTACCTGGTGCCATTTTCTCTGAACATCACCTCAAGACCCAAAATTTTTAGCGATAAAAGCAATAGTTTTGATAATTATCAAACTTATCAATTTTAGCTAATTTAACTTGTGCACTTTTGTCTTCACATCGACTCCCCCCCAAAAAAAACTTTTACCAATAGTTTTGATAAAAGCAAATTGTTTTTCAGATTTAGACAAATTTATCAAAATTAGCGAAACTTTTATCAATTTTTGATAAAAACTCCCATTGAAATAACATGGGGGCTGGAGAAATTAGCAAATAAAAGTGACTTTCCGCACCAAGATCGAAAAGATATTTATAGAAGAAAGGAAGGTTAAAAACTGATAGATCTGGTACAGTAAAGAGGTAACCACACTCAACAACCAAGGCTATATGTTATCAAGGGCAAGCTGTATTTTAAGGTTTAGAAAGCAACAGCTTATGAGAATCATAAAAAGTGTTTTGCACCAATAAGTTACTTATGTTTTATCCCAGTGAATAATGAGCAAGGATATAGAGAAGGTGTCTGTCAGTTTGTCCGTACATCTGTCTAGGTGATAAGTCACATATACTGGTTGATGGAAAAGGGATACCTTATGGACATAGGACTTCTGCTTGGGAAAGAAATTCCAATATGGCTTCTCAATTCAAAATGGCTACCATTTTTTAAGAAGTGCAATCTTTGATAACACAAACACCAGTAGTCAGTTTGGTTCAAATACAGAATATATGTACTACATGGAATTTTCAAGGCGGCCATTTAAGTTTTTCAGGAAGAAACTTTTTTATAACCCAAATACCAGTAATCTGATTTGAACCAAATTATATAGTCTGATGTATTTTGGGACCTCTGCTCAGGAAGTTTCCAATATTGTCTGTCCACTTTATTTTCATGGTCAAGTTTTAATGTTCAGCATGCCCCTAATTAATTACCCTCTTTTTACATGTCTTAAAATCTTAATTGCTATGTACCATTGCAAAGATCATCCAAACTATATTAAAATAGAGAATTTCACCTGTAAATAAGTAACTTCATCCTGTACATGTAATTTTAACCAGATATTGGGGAATCCTCTCTTCAAACATAGTGCATACTTGGATGTAAATCATTGTTCAGAACATATTAGTTACATCTCATCATTGGTACTATTTTTGTGGTTGGATTTGGTATTTGAGTATTTGGCATATGTAACAATTGTACCTGTGTTCATTGCTTATAAATGGTAGCAAAGTGTTCTTAGATGTAAACAGGACAGGTGCCTCAGGTACAACTGTGATATATAGGATGATAGATAAGCATAACAGACTATAATCCATATAACCCAGGCAGTTTTGGGTAGTAATATTCTTACAAAACAGTCGCAGGTGTAAGTGTATGTCAAATTACCAATAATCCTATTATTCTTACATACATACGATTGTGTAAATCATGTAGCAGTATGCAATTGTAGCTATTGCTTTAAATAAAATGCTGATATCCAGATGTTTTCGAAATTCTGTTGGAACGTCAATAGATAATAGTGCCAAAATGTTCTGTCACAGTGACCTCATAGTCAGAAAATAAAATGTCATTCTGAGTTCACTTTTAGTATCAGATATGTCCTGTTCATTTCATGAAATTCTATCTCTAACTCTAATAAAGTATTATAAATTGGAGAACAAAATTAGGTGCATCTAAATGTTACCATAGCAACCAATAATTTTGTTAATTATAAGACATATTTTTGGTCATATTTACCCAAACTGAAGCTTCAGTACCCCATGTAACAGTCATTTAGTGAAGTGAGTTACCATGGTAGCCAAATTTAATCCTGCATTGTATTTGTAGTCATCTGATAGGTTTTTCACAATGACAAACATTAGGGTCTATGTTGGATTGTTTTACAGGCAGAGCTTCCATTAATCATCTTTGACCTCCATTTATCATCCCATCGAATAAGGTTTGGGGGATATAGAGAATAACTCCGTCTGTCCCTTTGTCTGTCCAGGCAATAACTAAAATACCGTTGACCCAATATCAGTTATATTTTATATATAAATGCTCCATGTGAGTACTAGGTCTGCTCAAACGCTGATTTTTAAATTGACCATCAGTTTTAAAATAGTCGCCATTTTAGTGTCAATTTTCAGTATTTTAGGTACAACATAAAAAACTGTAATAATAACATCATATTTTCTTTGCAGTTTCTGACTCTTGGGTACAATTGACCCTACAAGACAATCCCGATGACACATCTACCATCCCCCCTCTTTCCATACACAATGGGGAGATGGAAAGACTACTAGGGGAGGCTCAGAGAGAGTGGTCTCGTTCATCCTCCAGAGTCACTAGTTGTAACCCTAGTAACACACCTAGTAACGCCCCTAGCAATGCACCTAGCAACACATCAAGTCATAGGAGTAGCCCTAGAGCCAGGTTTGTTATAGATTATACTTCTATATAGTTGTTTGGCAGTTAGATTTTGAATTTATTTGGAAAGTTTGATCCATGATGCATTAACAGAGAAGTGTTGCATTAACTAATGATAACCAGGGATTTACAATTGATAACAAGAATCATCAGTGCTTTATTTTTTTTCATTGTTTTTGTGGACTGCTGTTGGTGTTTGGTGGTTGGGATGAGGTGGTCAACATCTGTAACAAATGGCATCAGTAACAACATTCTGTTTTATGAAACCATGTATTTGGAATTTTGAACTACATGTATTATACTTCAAACAAAATGTCGTTTATTTATGTCTTTAAAGGATTTAAAGTATTTGAAATAATAATATGTATAGTAAACAATTTAAGTTCCGGATTTTTTATATTTTCAAAACAAGTCAACTATTTGATTACTTATGTTCCTTATTTTTAGATTCTATTAGGCTTTGTTGTTTTAAAGGTTAAAGTTAAAGGTCCAATCATTTTAAACATATAATATAAGGTTATTTGAAAATATGATTAACTTAAAGGAATAAATCATAAGTAAATATTGTTTGATAAACATGTACTATCAACTGGTAATGATGACTATGGTTTAATTATTAATATAAGTCTTGATATGAAGTTAAAATGTCACAATAATATACATAAATAAAAAGTCTTACATTTTTTCAATACCTCTTAATTTTGATGTTTTGTTCATTGAGCAGTACTACAATATAAGGCAATAGTGATCTGTCAGGTTTCATAAATATAAACCTTATCTTAATATACCCTCCCCAATCTGTAGTTTTATCACCCTTTTGCAGATTTTATTTCTTTGGAATTAGTACAAGTGCCATGTAGAGTACTCAAGTATGGGGCACAAAATGTACATACGTACTATATACATGTTATCAGGACAGGTGGACATATATATTTGAGACAAAGGACCGGCTGAAGGATAGCATACACATTTAGCTTTTGTTTCCCCGTTTCTTAATATCAGTAAAATTAGATCAAACATGTAAGAATCAGTTGAATATTTTGATATGTTCATATTATCTTATTTCTTATTTCAAATTTCTTTCCCCAAGTCGCCCAATTTTCATTTCTTCACAATATACTTTAATGTTTCAACTTTGTTCAAATACCCATATTATCTGTATTGTTACTCACCTGTTCAAGTCCTGATTAAATCGGGAGAATTCCAGATTTTTAAGCAAGCCCCGATGTTCAAAAAGCCAATGTTCAGAAAATGACAAAAATGAACCCTGATTTTCACCCAATTTTTTTTAAACAACCCCAATTTTTTGAAAAATTCCAGATTTTTTTTTACTTGAGATTAGAGATATGTAATTATAATGCTGTTTTTTTTTGTAATTTTATATTCTTATTATTGAATTTGTTATCTTATTTTGCAGCCCAAAAAGCCCTCACAGTCCAGTGAATGAACTCTCATCTAGTGATTTTTCAACAATACAGGTAAAGAAAAATATAAAAATAAAATGAAATGTTCAAATAAATTCTTTCATATATTAATGTTGTTCAACATTTAGACACTGTGTTTAATGATAGCTTAAAACCATGTTCCATTGCTTGTGTGTTAAACTCTATTTACTTTGACCTTACACACTATTACTAAATTGAAAAAATAAAATACTCTGTAAAAGACTAAGAAAGGTGCCAAACACTTTTTTCAAATTGCATACAAAGGTGACGATATGCATGTCAATATGATTCAGATTGTTCTTAAGGGCTTTTTAAGTTCACATTGAAGTATATAACTGACTTATAATTACCAATTTTCATTTCAAAATCAGAACAAGCATTTTATTTCAAGGGCTCATAATATTTCAAGCTGTTTTTGGATCACACCCAGCAAAGTGCAGTTAATTTTGCTCTCAGGGACACAACTAAATGACCTTCCTTGCTCCTCCAATTCATTTTAAAATTTTAGTCAATGATGAAACATACAAATATATTAGTTAAATTATCAGTATAGCAAATCATGTCCTTTCTCACATATTAGATACCTCGATCGACAGACACCTACTCATATCATGAATTTTCCCTACTACACATACAAACTTGACAAAAAGCAGCTGCAACTGTTAACCAACATGAAGGAGATCATGTTTACTATTTTTATATTGTTTATCTCTTTGTTTATATATGCCATCAACAAGTAGGCCAACAGACATTGGTTCTACAAACTAACTTGTATTAGAAGCTGTCTGGGGTCTGTATAATATAAAATACAAAGAAATCAGCATACTGGCATTATAATATATTATTCCATAATAACATGTTTGTTTAGGAAATAAACAAATAGAATTGATATTCAAAAAGTAATTATAATATTTTCCTTAGCCAATATCATATTTCCCTTGGAATAAAATTCTTATTCCACCCATCCCATTAAATAACCTCTATTTATTTAAGTTTCTGAATGTGACAATACTTTGCATCATGCAATACATCATGTACTGTATTCTTTCACAGTTTTTGATACATGTTATTTATCATGTAATAACAATAAACATTCAGTCCTGCTCACAATGTACTCATTTGCCTCCCTCTGTTCACAGTGTGAATTGAACTGATGCAAGATTGAGACAGACTCCTGGTGTACAAATAGGAATTTTAAAATAACCTAGAACTACACGAGACATTCATTCAACTTCATTTATTTTAAAATGTGTTTGAGGATGTAATGCTAGAAAAGTTATCTAATGAATGCATTGTTAGTTGCAATATTAGCAATGACAATGAGATTAGTCTATCCTTTATAAATATCTACTCTCATCTATTCATTTATTGTTGGGAACATTCAAGGTGATGTAAAATCCATCAATCACTAGAGTAACTCTGAATAAACTGCATGCTATTACTGTAAATACCTTATCTGATATCTTTATAGCTATTCAAGTGTATCTTACTGTTTAAAACTGAACTTATCCTTTCATTTAATGATGTTTCACACAATCAGTCTCTCAAACAAGAGCATGTTCTCCTGCTTGAGTATAATTTCCAGTGGGAGCATAGTCTCCTGCATGTTCTCCCAAGGGAGCATAATCTCCTGCAAAAACATAATCTCCCGCAGGAACATATTCTTCTGTGGGAGCATTATATTCTCTCACTTGAAAATATTCTTTAAAGGGAGAATGATGTCCTGCAAGAGCATATTCTCCTCAGGGAGTAGAGCGTAATCTCCTGCAAGAGCATATTTTCCCAGGGTAGCATTATTGCCTAACTAAGCCTAATGTCCCATCAGAGGATATTCTTGGGGGTAGGTCTCGCATTTGGAAAGCAAAATATTTATTAAATTGTATGTATTATATTACTTCAGGAAAATCAAGAGCTTCAGAATACAGTGAAGGACTGGATCTGGGACTGGTCAAGCAGACCAGAAGCTCATCCTCCAAGGTCAGTAGCCCAAAACATTCATTCATGTTATGATTTTATACCACGTATGGTAACTGTTTTAAGAACACTATCTTTATTTTGTTGTCCGTGTTAAGACTCACATTTGCTGCTACTATGCTTCTAAAAGTTGTATTAAAATATCTGAACAAAATTATGAATCATATTTTTATCAAAAATGTGCAATCTGGAGTATAAGTGAGAGGGGTGGGTCTATCAGAGGTTTCAACTTAAAAATGAGAACCTTATTATTTAGTCCTATTATACAACAATACAAGAAACATCCTGTTGTGAAATTACTTTTGAGAGAAATCAATGCAATTCTTTTTAACTTTCAGTGATATGAGTGCCATGTTCAAACATCCCGTCAAGAAACACAAGTTGAGTATTCGCAACACAAGAGTCATGCGCAGTGGGCCATTCTGTTTGGAGAACCTCCCCACCCTATTGATGAGCCATGCCTGTACATTCTTCCTTGGAGCCGCTGCGTGAGTTATAACACTTTTTAACAGTGCTGTAGCCCTGTACATTCATGTCAGAAATACAGTTTTGATTTTCTGCTATTTCATTTTATCGTAAAATGCTGTAATATGTAGTTTATTGCAATTGATTCATTTCTCATTATATTCCAGAATGTTCATTTATCTCAGAAGATATTGCAATTTGGCTGTAACTGCTCCTGTTATCTCCGACTAGTCAAAATGGACATGCTGATAGAAAGGAATGGTAGATCAACTTAGAATGAAAGGCAAGAGTAAAGGATCAACAGATTCGTTGTTAGAATGTTACCCATATAACTGAGAATTTTAACAATTTAATTAATCGAAAAAGGAATTGTCTATGGAAGATAATGTATTTAAATATGCATATTTTAATGACAAAATCTATTCACTTTGGAAGAGACATCTCAAACATAGTGATATAGCTGGGAATCTCAAAGGAATAACACTAATGATTTTTAAAATAATAATATGAAAAAAATAATAAACAATATAAAAAATTTGATTTATGACAAAGCTTTGTTGACTGTCAGTAATGAAATTCTGAGTAGAGAAATTATGTAGAAATGCCTAAAATCTCTTTTTGAAAGATATTCTTACAAAGACTTACAAAGATTGTTTATCACCATTTTGGTAAGTTAATGGAAACTTTAAGAAAAGCAAATTGCTTGCCCTGTTTTTATAATACAGTGTATACAAGGAGTAACTAAACGGGTGAGACATCGCAGATTTGACCTTGCCTTAGTGTGATGAAGAGTCAATAAGGAGATGTAAAATAAACACATTTTATGTCTGATTGGCATGAACTAAGTTTCAGAAATGCTTATTTTTTCTGTTTGCTGAAGAGCATAACATACATTTCATATTTCATTTTCAATTATATTGTCACATTGCATTTAGATTAGAATCAAGCTACAAAAATTAAATCATTTTTTAGTCTTCACTTGAAGAATATTCATATATCGGTTATTATGCACACATGTATTTGTACATCATTATAATATTGTGTGTAATTTATGTAGTATGGACCACCTAGTCAACATCAACAATATAAATGTTTACCACCTAGGCCAAATATACCATTAAGGCGGGCCTAGCTGGATGAATTAAGGAGTAACCAGATTACTCGTTCTACTGGGCTTACCTTAATACATACCAGGAGTATTATTAATAATATAATATATTAATTTTGATTCATGATTCAGTTCAAACTCTAAGCATTACCATTGTTTTGTATTAAGTGTCTGTAAGTCATCCCCTGATCTTTAAGAGAACTTGGTTTCTGTGAATTGAAGCAGAGGGGGTAACACAGGGATTTATGCAAAACTTGTGTTTGGATGAGTTTGATAATGTATTGGGGTATACTGCATGTGGTATGAAGTCAGTACAATTCAGGGTGGCTTCGAGGCCTAGTGTTGCAGCCGATAGCATTTTGTACATCATAAATTCATCTCACAAAGTTTATTGGTGTATCTCTACTTCGACTTTTCTTTGATATATTGTACATAAAGGGGGGGAGGGTCTGGGATAGCAGAGGGGCAGGGTAACAATACTGATGCAAAATTCTGGTTGATCCAGTGTTGTTTGTAATTTTTTCGAACATTTCGAACATTAGGAGAATGAAGTGGAAATGATGCAAGCAGTATGTTTAGACTGATTACACCGTAGCCATGGTAATGCTTGCCTATTTGATGATCTCATTTATGATAACAATGATGGAAGAACAGACAACTCTTCCACTTTAAAGCTGCTGATTGCATCATCTTCTACTCCACTTCATATCATCCTATTTCGCCTACCTGTATCAAAAGATAAAATGACATACCAAAGGAAAATACCATTTCTAAACTGTCTTTAGAAATTCAGTTTGTTGGTATTTTTTATTTGTCTCTGAGCTTGGTTTGTTAGAATACTTTGCAATATACATGTAGAATACAGGCTTATGTAAAAATGTATTTCATATAATTCAGGTCTATTTAAAATTATCATGTTCATATATACGCATCATGTACCTTTATATTTCTATTGTAATATCATGTTCATGTGGTATATTATCATGTTAGGTTTTTTCCATCATGTAAATCTGTAGTGTATACATGTGGATTAGATCATTGTTTTCAATAATAGTTGTTATTGTTATAGTGGCAAAATTTCGTAACACTTCGTCTCTATATGAAAATGATTTGAGGAACATACATGTACAATCTTAAGTGGAATTGTGTTCATCAATATTGTTTATTGTCATCATAAATGTATATTCCTAAATTCAACATGTACATAAAAATGTATATATTTCACATATGTATGGATCAATGTATAAATAAAATCATATATTATATTTCAAATGATATTATGTTTTCAATTCATTTAGGTTGCTTCTTAAGCTTTGTTCTTATCGCTTCTATGTGAGCTAAAGTCCACCGTTCAGTGGTACCAGAGTCTTATGTATTGAAGCCGCCCATTGAAACCAGAAAACTGTAATTCCATGGAGTAGCAATTCCCAATGAACAAATTATAATATTTACTAGTAAAAGATGAACATTGGAAATATATCAGAATTTCAAAGATGCAGGAAACAAAGACAATACAATATTTGTGATTATGTAAACATACAATGGCCATTTTGAATTTTCTGCGGTATGAATCAGAAAGATGATACCAAAATTTATCTACTTCAAAATTCCTACGATTTGAGTATAATATTGCCATACTTTGAAGATATGGAAGAGATACGAAATTATTGCAAACTCCACATTAGGTGGCCATTTTGAATTTTCAGATTTTTGAACTAACTGTTAGACAGCTAGAGGGCTTCATTATATCCCTACCAAACTTTGCTTGTTGAGATAATTAACTTTGCATTGAATGATCAATCTGAAGAAAAGTGTAATCATGAACATGTTACTATTGACATCTTATTTGAGAAAATGATCAGATTTCGATTCTTAGAATTTGTGCAATACTACAGCAAATATAAGAGATATGGTCCAGACACAGCAATATTTAGTGAGTAATAAATATCTCTGGTATGCATGCCTGATCTGGACTGCGTCATCTATAGCCACCCTAATTACAGGATTTCTTGGGGACCTCGTTATCTATAGCCACCGTGAATAAAGGATTTCCTGGGGACAACATGACACTCTTGCGTCAATAAGGAGAGCTGAGTAGAATAAGTTATCTTGCTAATTAACTGTTACATGTCACATTGCATGTTGAGATAATAAAGGTCTCCCTAACCTCATCTTCATTATTTCATGCTATGCAGCATGCTTTAAAACATTATTTATTGCTATTGTTGTCTCAGTGTCACCTAGGATACAACAGGGAAATTCTTTCAAAACCAAATATATTTCCTTGTAAATGACCAAAGGTATTCCTATGTAACTGAATCATAAATGACAATATTGATGCATATTACTTTTCATTATTCCATACATTGTTATTTTTTAAGTGGACTTGTAGAATGAGTTTAATTTGCTGATAAAAGTCTTAATTTTTTCATTAAAAAATCTTGTGGACCCAGTTAATAGTTTCATCCAGTGTCAATAATTCAAGAAAAATTGCTTTATACGATATAGCATGATCCAAAGTCAGCCATGCAAGAGGTTTTTAAATGTACACTGCCTAGGAATTATATCTTCTCTTTTTTGACTTAAACTTTCAGAAATTGTGAAAATGCCAATTTAAATAGAGCCACAATACAAAAAGTATTAGGCATGTAGAAACCAATGGAATATCTGTATTCTACCAAGCATTTCTAAAAGATGGTACTTTTTACAGAAATCATTTTTCAACCCAGCCTGTAGCGTTATCACCTGATGAATGAGTGTCACTTTTGATGGGCCAATTGGGGACAGCCTTCTTAGTCACCACCCTTATATCAAATATCAACTTAATTGTAATTTCTCATTTTACGGCTCTTTCGTTAACAGGCTCATCTCAAGACCTTTACATTGATAGCTTCACATATACTTCTAGCTTAAATATATGCCTGAGATTTGTCATCCCATCTTTATGGCCTCAATTTGATACAGAAATTTCAATATTGTCTGCACGGGGATACCAAGTGGCACACTTGACCTTGTGAGAATTAGTATTTACTTTCATCATGTCATGAAGTACCAATTGAAATATTTATCACCAAATACGTTTGACAACATTGTGCGAGTATATATTCATGTATTTATTTCATTAAAATATGTGATCATATTTTTCATTACATATACATATTACATTCTAACATTACCATGATTTCAACAATTCATTATTGTATCAGATTTAACTCTCTCCACCCTGATATTAGCTTACTGTTATGTGTACTTTTGAGATATTAAGACCCTCTGTTGACCTGGCCAATTGGTCAGAGATAATATTATTCATGTCAACATACTATTGTTACATACTGCAATAATCTCATCAGTTTTAATCATGCTTTTAATTGAACTAAAAATTTATCTGCACGTAAAAAATTCCTATTTCTAGCAGTACATGGTTTCTCTTGTAATTTGGAATATGTCCCTCATGATAAATTATTTTATACAGTGTCCTCATTTGATTTTGATTCTACATATTCTATTGCTTCACGTTTAACTGCATTCTGTGTTTCTTCATCACCATGTACTTTTTCAAAGTCCATATATTTCTTGAAGACTGATTTCATCTTTTTAGCGGGTAGTCCTAGATGTATTAGTCTTTCAAATAGCTTCCTGGAATGATAAAACAAAATTTGACATTGATAATTTCAGTAATTTTTTATTCTAATGAGGGCATACAAGTAACAAAGCCATTAACATGCAAAATGTCATCACTTGCAAAACATCAACCACTTAACACCAAAAACCATCCACAAAAAAGTGGAGACAATATGTTACAAAATTAAAATGTCATCATATGAGAAAATATGATTTGTTGGTTTTCATTCATTTCCAACTCTTCCATTTTCTTACTGGAAGTTGCAAGTAATTATATTTGAATAGAAAATTAAATAGCTGTTATTTTAGAACATCAAATACCAGCCTTTCCATAACATGTCACCAGCTGGTTGTTTATTATAGTTTATTATAGCCCAAACCAGTCACTGGTCACCAAAAAAGGTGGCTATTACAATGTTTCAACAATTCTCCTTGGTGGTGACATAACAAGTGACTCAAGTGAAACATACCTGACTGCTTCTGGCTCATTGAGTTTGGTCATCATGTCCATGTAAACAAACCAAAGGTCTATACGTTTGGGGTAGTTCGCAACCAGATTCTCGAACATTGTTTTGCCTCTCTCTGGTTCACCGAACTTAAACTCAAGCTGGGCAAACTTTGAGATCACTTCAACATCTAAAATATCAGATTCAGATACATAATAAGGGCTTATGATTCAACAATTTAGTTTATAACACAATAGGAAGTATAACAGGTAGAATTCTGAACCCCCAAAAAAAGGAAATTTTATTCTGTTCATTGTTGAAAGACCGAAATCGCGGCCAGAATAATTCCTGAGGTCATATATTTCTGATCTTATACAAGATAGTCTGGAAAGCCAATGGTGAACCATACACAAAGTGAATACAATACATAAACAAAGTCAATATGGTATGTAAATCAGAAATGAGCTCAATTGTATGTTGTGTTCATGTATAATAATTTTCTTACGGTCACGTTGCTCCAATGTTTTGAGACTTCTTTCTAGTAGTTTCTTGGCTGCTTCTGCTTTGCCGTTCTTAAAGTGGAACATGGCATACCCAATCCATATTGACTTGTCCATGTTCAGAGGCTTTTTCTTCAGTAATGTGTTATATAACTGTTCCGCAGCCTAGATCGAATGAAACGACATTTCACATATTTCTAAATAATAAATACATGTATGTGCTTTGTTCATTTGGAATTTCAGAAATTTTGTAACCATTTTTAATCTACTACTGTATATGAAGCCCTGATAAAAAAGATTTGTATTTGCTTTTTGAAAAACACTTCATCATTACATAAATATGCGATTATTTGTTGAATTATATGAACTTACCTCCATTTTGTTGCTTCGTGTATATATATTTATAAGCTGCTGGTAGACCTTCAGTTCCTCATTGCCGGCTACTGCACGTTTGAATATTTTATTGAGGGTGTCATGGCTACCATACATGTTCTCAAGATTCATATAGGCCACCCAGATATTCAGTTTCTCTTGCTCTTCTCTGAAAAGAAAAAGTAAGAGTATGAACAAAAGAACTTGAGCAATTTAGTGCTATTGATATCCCACACTAAATATAAACAAGGCCAACTGAGGTATCATAGAAATTGTCATGTACAGTGAATATCAAATGATATATTGTGAAGTTCCAACATGTTAACATGAAAAATTGTTTTACATTTTTCTTATTTTAAAATAATAATGAATTTTTTCTGAAAATAATAACACTTGCTGATACTCTTAGCAAATGGGTGAAAATATCAATGTTTTCATGAAACAACCACATGTATACAAAGGTTTACAGACAAGCTCCCATTCTTTGAACGTAATTGAACAACAATGAAACCATGCTATTTCCCATATCATATGCGTAATCATCACATTGATAGCACTTATATATCAAATCAATACCAACCTGAAAGAGATAGTTGTGAGTGCCCTCTCTGCTACACTCCTGGCTTTATCTATCTCCGCCATCTCTAAGAAGAAAGCCATGTACTGTAGCCATACAACGGAACTATTTGGGGAAGCCATTAATAATCTATCAAATTCTGCAGCTGACTGTGGTGCTGAGTCTGTGTTCAGTAGTTGCAGCTCAGCCTGGAACAAAATTAGTACAAGTCAACCATGAAATTAAATTTTCTAATTATTAATTCAGTAATTTCAATAATACATCACTATACTCAATTGAAAAAAAATGATGTAATACCGCAAATATTTTCTTTTCTTCCTGCTTCAACTCTTCTTTCTTTTCTAGTCGTGTTTTTGTTTTCTTTGGTTTTGGAAGTTCATCCTGGTCTTCAGCCTCACTTTCAGATTCAATGTCAGCAGACGGTGTCTGGGCTGTGAAGGGTGTGTTCCAGTTGAAACCAGATGACAGTGATAGCCTTGAAGCATCAGCACCAGATGTCTCCTCTTCCTAGTAAGTAATACAAACATATTACTTCAAACATTTTTTATCAAAAATAAAATTATAAGATTTTTTAATATTAAATCTAACTTTTTATTAACATCATATTTCAACTTTATCTAAGCAGTATAATAAAAATTTAAGAATTTAGTGATTAATCTTGAACATAGGGTCAGATCCTATGCTATGGGCGGTTGTGAATTCATTCCACCTCAGAGGGAGTTGACATGCGGAGTAATTTATGTTATCAGTATATTACCTCATCTTCAGATTCAGTCTGTACTCCACTATCTGACCCTTCACTGAGTTTAGCTTTTTTGTTCCCTTTTACAGTAGGAGTGTTTTCCAGTTTCCTCTTGGCCTTCTTAGCTTCCTCCTTAGTTTCCTAAACAGAAAAACAGTTGAAAAAGGACCATCTCTAGAGGTTCATCAATATCAAAAGTGGTTTTGGATATACTATGTACTTTTACTAAAAGAATCAATACAATACATTAAAAGACAATTCAGTATGAAATACTTGACATACTAGTCATATATATAACTCTTGACAAGTTACACTTATTTTCAGAACTCAAATGAATAAAAATCACAAAATCTAATATTTGGACTCTCACATCTATCATGTTGGCTGTTGTCTTGTTTCACCTACCTTCTTCTCCTTGGGGTCCCTTCGTTTTGATTTTTTGTATTTCTGGTCGATGCACTCCTCTTTCCCTGTATCCCTCTTGCGTAGAGACAGAGCTACTTTCCCATTTTCAATACTGTACAATACAATACAAGTTATAAGATTGTAAATAGAATGTTTGTTGTACAGTACATAGATGGAGGCAATAATAGAGAGTGAATTTAATTCATAAGACCAAACTGACACCTTTTACCGGAGATGTAAAGCTCATTGGTAAATGTTAAACTCGGAGAATGCACAATTAGAATGCACATTGTGATAGCTCACAAGTGGTGGGTTAATATTTTATGTGTTCTGCACTAGACTTTTTCCAAAATATTGTACAAGGCAAAATTGAAGATGGAAATCGAAGGGAAGTTTTGAGGTTTTAATGTTTTCTAATATACTGTAATTGGACTTATTTCATCCTTTTGTGGGCCTTCAAGATATGATTTCTAGATAGATACAGGCAGTCATTGAGTTCTGGGAATTGGTCTGCCATTTCAATATTTCTTAACCGATTTTCTTGAAACAAAAATTACATAAAACAATATACAATGTATACATGTACATGTATACATTGCTCTGTACCTGAGTATTTTACAGGCGGTCAGCCTCCCAGGTATATAGACATCACTCAATTTATCTTTGAAGAAGAAGTCGGAGAGTTGTGGATGTTGCCCTACTCCTTCCAATTCATGACCCAAACTGGAAGTAAACAAAATATATATGTAAAGCCCATATAATTATTAAGGAATAAAGACCTAAATGTTACGATTCTAATATGATAATGCATGATATGATAAACAGACCATAAAAACAACAATTTGCATTTGTGAAATTTAGTGGTCATGCATACCCCATTTAATGGCCCAGTAAATCATATTGTTTTAGTTATTGTGACGTCACAAATCATGTTAGAATAACTTGTCTATGGTTAGTATAAGCATACTTTGAAAGATATTTGAATTAATTTCCGACTGTTCACACTCACTATAAGGTGTGAAATAACCGCCGACAGTTTAATTTTCAGCATACATATGAAAATAACATGGCAACTGGTCAGTTAGTTTTGACTTAAATTCTTATTATTCACCCCTGACAGTTAATGAAAACACAGAATGAAATCCTGTGCTAAGGGCTGATGTGAAAAAGTCAGTCCACCCCAGTGGGGATCGAACTCATGACCCCTCACTTGCCGGGCGATTGCTCTACCACTGAGCTAAAGGACCAACTGGCTTTTTCACATCAACATTGCATATATAGGATTGCAGCCATGTCTTACAAGCCCAGTTTCCTGGACAGTTTCATCCCTGACAGAGTAAAAAGGTAAAATCTCTTATAGGAAAAGAATATTGAGAGTTATAAATGCTAAATGTATTATATACAGTTCATTCTTAATACAGTACAACTTACCTAACATGCACTCCAGCAAATGTAGATTTTCCAACATATCCCTGCAATACTTGGCCCACTTTCAGTTCATCCAGAGATGTGAGCTCTTTATCTTTAACCTTTGATGTGTCACTAGGCTGTACCCTAAAATCCCCACAAAGATATTAGTGTACACATTTAAATGAGTAATATACCCAAACTTACATAGTTTGGTGTAGTCAAGTGCAGTTTGAACCGATCAATGATAACTGCTTTCACTTACTGTCATTGAAAAATTGGAATGTTTGTTGAATTTATTTCACTGTTTATCTATTGTAAATTCGCATGGAAGCACAAAAAAAGTTAAAATGAATGCAAAGTGTTCTTGTTTTAGAACTGACACAGATGAATCACAACATCACCATTGTCACTTAACAATTCATTCATTGTAACAACATCCTTTTATTGAAATACTTGTACATGGATAACATTTTAATCTATAGCCTAGTGAAAGTAACTTATTTTGAAATCATTCTTAATTCTTCAAAACTCTGAATTTTTAAACTGAACAAACTGATTTGGGTTTAATTGAGTGAATTTACATGGACAGGTACCATTTTTGTGTCTTTATTTTACATGTGTTTTTCACATGCTAGCCGAATATTTTGTTTACTGTTTACATTTACCATATATCCCATGAAACAAGACTGAATAAAGGTGTACTAAAAAAACACTACACTCTCTTTTTACCTTGATAATCGAAGTGACAACTGACACTTTTTGCCCTCCAATGTCAGCACGTAGGCTTTGACATAGCTTCCAACCGTATAGCCCTCACAGGGTTCCTTCTTAAACGCATCAGACATATCAGTGAGGGCAACAGTGCCTTGCCAGCCGCCAAACATGGCAATGGACAATCCCTTTGTTGAATCTTTGTGGGTTACTTTTCCCATAATGCAACACCCCTGTTTTGGAAAGACAGGGAGTCCATTCATGGTGAGATAAAGCATGTCACCGTTCTGAGCAGAAATGGTTGTGTGGTAGCATTTGCTTTGCTTCAACAGACGCTTAGGATACTGCAATAGCTATAATAGACAACGCAAATTGCTGTATTTGATATCAAAGAATATACTGCACAATATTAAACAAACATCATATAGTTTTGGGAGTGTTGTACACCTGAACACTCATATGATATCGATACTTATTTGAACTAAATTTCTCCGTACAAAGACTAGTATCATTACTTAAATACAAACACAATAAGGCATTTTAAAATAAAATTAGTACCATGGGTACTGGGCTCACATGGTGTTGCTCAAAAGTGAAAATAAAAAAGACGGGTATAATTTTTTGCAGATTTTTTGTGACAAAATTATTTCATACAACTACTCTTTACAAAGACATGGCTTTTTACAATGCAGGACAATACTGAACTTATTTGTAAAATGGGCCAAAAGTGAATTTCCCGAGACAAAAATGGTGGCCATTTTGAAATTAGGCGAGATTTTGAAGCAGGAGTCACAGGTTTTTTTTTCTTTATTGATGTTGAACAAAATTACTTTAAATCGGGAATCCTATCTACAGAGGATTTAAAAAGTGTTGACAGAGGTTTAAAACTGGACTGACTGAGAGACAGATGGACGAATCAATGTTAACTAAAATGGCTGAAAATAAAAAAAACTGATATAATATTTTGCCGATTTTTTGTAACAAAATTATTTCATACAACTACTCTTTACAGTGACATGGCTTTTTACAATGCAGGACAGCTGAAATTATTTGTAAAGCTAGGAAATGGGCCAAAAGTGAATTTCGCGAGACAAGAATGGTGACCATTTTGAAAATAGGCGAGCTTTTGAACCAAGAGTCATAGGAGAGTTTTTTGTATTGATGTTGAACAAAATTAACTTAAAACAGGAATCCTATCGACAGAGGGTTTAAGGCAAATGGTCCAAAAGTGTATTTTACGAGACAGATGGACAAATCAATGTTAACTAAAATGGCTGAAAATAAAAAAATGGATATCATTTTTTGCTGATTTTTCGTAACAAAATTATTTCATACATCTACTCTTTACATTGACATGGATTTTTACAATGTAGGACACTTGAAATTATTTGTAAAGCTAGGAAATAGGTCAAAAGTGAATTTCGCGAGACAAAAATGGCGGCCATTTTGAAAATAGGCGAGCTTTTGAGCCAGGAGTCATAGGGGAGTTTTCTGTATTGATGTTGAACAGAAATAACTTAAAACAGGAATCCTATCGACAGAGGTTTTAAAACGTGCCACTGTTGTTGACGGAAAAGTGGATTTCACAAGTCAGATGGACAAATCAATGTTAACTAAAATGGCTGAAAATAAAAAAATAGATATAATTTTTCGCTGATTTTTTGTAACAAATTTATTTCATATATCTACTCTTTACATTGACACAGATTTTTACAATGTAGGACACCTGAAATTATTTGTAAAGCTAGGAAATGGGTCAAAAGTGAATTTCGCGAGACAAAAATGGCGGCCATTTTGAAAATAGGCGAGCTTTTGAACCAGGAGTCATAGGGGAGTTTTCTGTATTGATGTTGAACAGAAATAACTTAAAACAGGAATCCTATCGACAGAGGTTTTAAAACGTGCCAGTCAAAAGTGAATTTCGCGAGACAAAAATGGCGGCCATTTTGAAAATAGGCGAGCTTTTGAACCAGGAGTCATAGGGGAGTTTTCTGTATTGATGTTGAACAGAAATAACTTAAAACAGGAATCGTATCGACAGAGGTTTTAAAACGTGCCACTATTGTTGACTGACAGACGGACGGATGGACGGACGGACAGACGGACAGACAGACGGACAAGTGAGCGATTGCAAAAGCTTACCATGTGAGCTAACAAGACAAAATGTCACCACCTGCAAATGGTTACAACAATTGTTACAGACACACGCCAATGTAGCATACTGACAGTGCCCACCAAAGCTGATCGCAATTAACAAAATAACAAAAAAAAAAATAGTGGCTTTCACAAAATGTTGCCATTTTTTGGTGGTGGCATGAAAATTTAAGTACCAAACATACCTTAGGATTATCAGACACATTTAAGATGGGTATCTTTCCAATAACACCCATGGATACCTGTACCCATGCTGCCGAGTTATCCCATCTCTGTACAAACACAGTCACCTTATCACCAACATTGCACTGGACCTCAGCATCCTCCTTCACCTTGTATATGTCCAACATTTTGCTATAATCAAAATAACATTGTTACATGTACATGTGCAATGTGCATGTATTTCACACAAGGTCAACGTCAGTTACAGCACAGGCATTCTGGAATAACTCGGTACACAGAAATAATATACATGTTTAGACCTATATGAGAGTGCATCGGTAACAGGACAACTCATCCCTAAGACAACTCATCCCAAGACAACTCATCCCCAAGACATCTCATCCCAAGACAACTCATCCCAAGACATCTCATCCCAAGACATCTCATCCCAAGACAACTCATCCCAAGACATCTCATCCCAAGACAACTCATCCCAAGACATCTCATCCCAAGATATCTCATCCCAAGACAACTCATCCCCAAGACAACTCTTCCCAACTTGAAATATAACATAATTTTATACAATTAATTTTCACTTTTGAAAGAATGAAAAATATTTAGAGATTTTAGGAGTTAGCACACTGTGGAATATCTTTGTTTTTTATTATATACATTTTTCACGCTGTATTTTAAACTGACACATTTCATATTTTGTCATGTTGCATTTGCTTAATATTTTTGTATTTTGTAGTTAGTTTAGCCTAGTTTTAGTTAATTTTTGTTGACTGATTGGGATAAAGATAAACATGTTCAAATTAATATATACTTTGATTATTAAATCAAAGATCATCAAAGGTGTAGGATTAACTCAGTTAGCATGTATTATCCAAGGTGCTATCAGAATAATTCTCTCAGATTAATTCTGTCTTTGTTTTAAAATATTTTGGCTTAATCCTAAATAAGATTGCCAATTTCAAACTTTCAGATTTATGATGATTAAATTTGGAAATAATGTCTATGACTTTTATGTTCAATTCTATATTCTCAAAAATATTTAGAATAACCCAGAATTAATCAAAATAGCGGCAGTACTGACAAGTAAAACATAACTTTCAAGTGCCATTTCAAAATGCTAAAAATCAGTATTAAAAATTGAGTGTGTAATCAAAAATCACTTTGTAATCATAAAATGAAAAAGGGATATATATAATATAGAGGACACAATAATTTATCAATTGTACAAGTGGGATGAGTTGTCTTGGGATGAGATGTCTTGGGATGAGATGTCTTGGGATGAGATGTCTTGGGATGAGTTGTCTTGGGGATGACTTGTCTTGGGATGAGTTGTCTTAGGGATGACTTGTCTTGGGATGAGTTGTCTTGGGATGAGTTGTCTAGAAACCAGTGCATCCATGCAAGGGGCTTTATTCAAAGGCTGTTTTTGTTTTGGTGAAAAAAAAATCAATATGGAAAGGAAGCACCACATGAGAATTTCTCACGATAATTGATAAACTGTTTGACATACTCACCTTGGTTTTAATGTACAGACAGGTAGAGATGTAGTCAGGTTAGGATGACTCAATGGCAGAGACCTGTAACAAAATGATATTTTAACGTGTAATTTTGGCTTTTAAAACAATTGCTATTTTTACTGCGGCCTTGCATTTTACCTATTTTATGTTCTGTGTGTCAAAATAATCTCTCATATAAACATGAATGTTTTATTTTTCAAAAATAGGGGAATTTTGGATACATCTTGTACATGATACGTAGCTATCCACAGGCAAACGACATTACAAGACTGACTTACAATGCTAAATGGGAGTGAAGTTTTCAGGAATTCAGCATTCCAGGTGAAGGTGTTCAACCTGTCATATTATTGAATATGATTTTAAATGAATAAAGCATTTATATTCAAATATATCTTCAATCAGGGGTTTTAAAGATATCAATTATGGGTGATCAAAATCAAGCTGAAAACAATTGATCGCATGAGTTTTCCCTAACATGGGAAATATTGTTTTCCACTTAATCCCAAATGAATCCATTTTCCTTTTAAGAGGTTATCAAATGTGTCTCAAAACACAACATATCTGATGCATCGAACACTGGAAAAACAGGTGTGGAAAGGGCTAAAATCAGGACAACATTTAAAAAAACATGGTGCTAGGGTGTTCACATCTTCCATGTCTCAAAGTCAAAATCAACTCTATGAGTGGTTGTCCTGGAGTTACTGCATTAACTTAACATACAGGTATGCACCTGTTCAAATCGTAAGAAAATAGCCAAAATCCAACATATATGGCTGTCTGAAAACTGTTGCCATACATTCTGTGCTCCTTCTTTTATGTTCTTTTATTTTATGTTTGTTATTCTACAATGCAGACAAGCACTTTTATCATTTTGAACAATATTCACAAATACTCATTATTGGTTAAGTACATAGTAAACAATAAATTGCATCAGATAATGGGCAATGGGCCATGTACTTATATACCTACAACGGTATCAAAACAATGCCCTATAAATCATATACAATAAAACAATTGAGGCATTGTTAGGGAGAGCAGGAAATAGGGTCGCAATAACACACTTTGTGAATGTTATTTGATATTATATAACTAAAATCCAGAATTTATAGCCTCCAGAATTATTAAATTCTAGCCAAAATCACTAAAACATTTCCTGTTTTAACAAATAAAAATACTCACACATAAGTACATATTCATAGGTCAGTTTCATATTTTCTGAAGCTTATATAATAATTTTGTTAACTACTGGAAGTATGACGTCAAGAAATCACCAATTATTTATTCAAACTATAGTGCATAAAACTAGATGCAATACAGATTACTTCAAAAGTCTTGGGATTCTGACAACCTGAAGAATTATTTTATTTTAGACTGAAAATCGAGCAATGAGAAATATTGAAGCTTTGATGTTTTGCCTTCTTATAGGTGGAAGCCTTGCTGTAAGAATTAAAATGGGGAATATGCCGCCACAACGGATATTAACAAAGGGCTCTGAAGAGGTTAAAGGTAAAATTTACACTTTTTTCTCAACTCATCACGCTTTCGTGGTGATACAATTTTTACTTTCGTGGAATATTTCCCGTATCACATGCTGAAACGTGTAATAACAGATAGTATCACACATCCTAGAACAGTCTGTAAACTTGTTAAGCAAAAAAGAATATTTTTCTCGAAGAGGAAGGTACCTTTGATAGATGTCTTTAAGTCAATGTTAGAGCAAAATGCATTCAATAAAATGTAAATAACTATTCTCTAACCTATATTGAACACAAAAAATAAAAATAAAAATAGCTCAGTAGTAAATTTTCCTTCATGTACTTTATTTGCAATTGCAGAGGTTGTGGAAGAACTGGGGGAGTTCACTGAAGCGCTTCTTGAATTCAAAGCCGTGGAGTCCACAATTCAAAAGAATATTCAGATGATCCAAGCTGGTGTGAGAAGTATAGCAAAGTCATTGAAAGAAATGTGAGTTGATAAATATTGTAAATATCTGCTTGATGTTCAAAGTAACTCAGAAATAGGCCTAATTTCTTGAGGCCCTAATGGTATAGTCTCTATTACTGACGAAACAAACATTAATGAAAGCAATTTCACCAAAAATGATATATTCTTTGTCTCTGAGTTAGCATGTCTGATTAGAACTTTTTTATTCCACTGCAGACTGGGGGAAAATAACTTATTTGTTTCATTTTACAGGTCAAAACCAAAAAACAAGCTGCCAAAGAACAAACAATAATTATGACATTTGTGAAATGTAAATTGTGGACAAAATGGACTTGAATTTCTATGATTTATTCGGTGAACATTTGTGTGATGATAATTTGTGTCGTTATATTTCTGTTAATATCCAATGCATTATGTACTATCTGAATACCATCAAGCTCATTTCATTTTTAATTTCACAATAAACATGATTAAAAACAAAAATAAGTGACTTAATATTTCATTTTTAATTTCACAATTGACAATAAACATGATTAAAACAGAAATGATTACATTGTCAAAACAATATGCTCAACAGGCATGAAGCCTGCTTTTACCAAGGGGTAAAAAATTCCAGGAGGTCACATTTGACAACTTTGGCCAAAAGTGCTCAGAATGGTTAAAAATGCATGACTTTGAAGGAATTTATGGCCAAGGGGGGGGGGGCTCAAACCTCCCAATTTCTCTCTGGCTACAAGCCTGCACATGTCAATTCATGGTATGTTGGAGCCTGGTAAGTTACCATGCACAGCCTATATGGGGTAATCACACAGCCAATGCATAAGATAATCACAAAGTCTATATTAAGGTTTTGGTCATCTTGTAGGACCTCCAGTACCTTACTTGATTTCCTTGCTTTGAATTGTACATTCTTCATATTTGAAGTAATTGGCTCCTCTCAAATAATGACCCCCTGAACAATCAAGCAAACCTCAAAGGAACTTTGCTAGTAAAATAACACGAATCATTTCCTGTGTTACCATTATTTATAGTTAATTTGTTTACCTATATTATATGCATTTATACATCTGATGAAACTCATTGGTACAATGCATGTATAGAAATTTATTGATATTATTACACTTACTTGTGACTTATGACTTCTCTGAATCCAATGACCTTGACTTTGATCTTCATATCTGGATTGAAACGATTCAACACTTTCTCCTTCTGAAATCAACCAATCAAAAGAAATGTCTCATAGATATTTTGTTTGAAATCCTAATGCAAATCAAATATGTAATACAAGAACATGAAAAATTAAAAAAATATATAATATTCTTTTTTATCTAAAAATGTGATTAATAAAATGACAAGATGTTTATAAAAATACCAATGATAATATATCAAGACTCCATTTGTGTACAACTTATGCCTTTTTACCATGATGAATTCCATCTATTAATTTGAATTTTGAGGGCAATTTCAAATTCCCAGTTTTCAATCTTGCATAGAAAATGATTTTGATTTTCTCTGACAGTAGGAATTCTTAAATGGGATGCAGTTGGGCTGACCAAGGTATACAACATTCAAATCACAGTAAGATGGGGGAGGGGGGGGGGGTAGTACAGTACCTCTTTGGGATCATCTTTGATCTCTGACACATGGACCATAGCTGGAGTCTTGTCTTCTATCCTGATGTTTAACTGACATGGCTTTACAGTCTTTATCCTGGAGAAATAAATACATAGAGTATTACACGGAACATTTCAAATCAACAACCAACCAGAACAACGGCAACGCCAAAGCGTAGCGAATCCCATCGAACATTATTCAAAAGGGGCACCTTCTACCAAAAGTGTCATTAGACAGTGTGCCATGCTTATAATATTCACATACCAAATATGAACAAAATCGCTCTACTACTTTTCGAGTTATAGTAAAATACGTTAAAATGGTGGCCATTTTTCAAAATGTCCGCCATTTTTCAAAATGGCCACCTTCTACCAAAAAGTGTCATTAGACAGTGTGCCATGCTTATAGGGATTCACGTACCAAATATGAACATAATCGCTCCACTACTTTTCGAGTTATAGTAAAATAAGTTAAAATGGCAGCCATTTTTCAAAATGTTCGCCATTTTTCAAAATGGCCACCTTCTACCAAAAAGTGTCATTAGACAGTGTGCCATGCTTACAGTATTCACATACCAAATATGAACAAAATCGCTCCACTACTTTTCGAGTTATAGTAAAATACATTAAAATGGCGGCCATTTTGAAAAATTACCGCCCTCTACCAAAAGTGTCATTAGACAGTGTGCCATGCTTATACGTATTAACATACCAAATATGAACAAAATCGCTCCACTACTTTTCGAGTTTTAGTAAAATAAGTTAAAATGGCGGCCATTTTTCAAAATGTCCGCCATTTTTCAAAATGGCCGCCTTCTACCAAAAGTGTCATTAGACAGTGTGCCATGCTTATAGTATTCACATACCAAATATGAACAAAATCGCTCCACTACTTTCGAGTTACAGCAAAAATCGTAAAATAACGAGTAAAGGACACCATTTTTCAAGATGGCTGCCATGTGCTTTTTTAATATCTACATTTCTAGCTTTATTAATGTCCTATATAATTTTTTTTACATTTAAAACATATTGCTATTACAGTTTTACATATTGCACCTAAATTACTGTAAAATCGGCAGTAAAATGGCTGCCATTTTTAAATGAGCGGCCATTTTGAAAATCGGCTTTCGAGCAGAACTTCTACTCCCATAGGGTATATGTGTACAAAATATGAATAAAATCGGGCCAACGGTATTTGAGTTATTGCCCGGACGGACGGACGTACGTACGTACGGACGTACGTACGGACGGACGGACGTACGTACGGACGGACGTACGTACGGACGGACGGAGGCGTTCCCTATATCCCTCCGAACTTTGTTCGATGGGATAATTATTTGGCATACTACCGTAAGCCTGTAAGAATGTTCTACGAAGATCTGTTTGAAATTGTTTGAAACAGTACTGGTCTGTCAGGATCTGTTAGTTAAATACAAAAACAACATATACTTACACTGCATCATAGATCCCTCCAACTTTATAATTATGTTGAATTACATTGGTTACATCCTCTGATTCTGATGTGAGACGCTGGCGCCCTCTTTGTTCAGGAATTTCAGCCTTAGATTCCAGGATCTCCAGATTAGCGATAATGCAGCCGTCCTCAATACTAAAAAGGGAATAAATATTACACAACAAAATATGATTGTCATAAAGATTAAACACACAACCTTAACTCCTTCAGTTATAGCTCATTATTCATTGAATTAATGCATGTTCGAAACTGTTACATATCCTTACGACCTTAATTGTTTTGGTAACAGATCTTGCCAACAATATGTAGAAATTCGGATATGTATTGATTCAGTGACTACTCATAGACTACAATATTTGGTGGTGCCATAAAGGTCAGTACACGAAACGAGTATTCTGAATATAAATATGATAGAAATCGATCTTGTGACACTACAAAATATGCTCCCAACCCGCGCAACCTTTTCTGGAATGCATGCAATTATTTCCCTTGTATTGGGAAAATTGATGTTTTAATCCAAACCCTTACCTTTTTATGATAACATTGTTAAGCTGACCAATTGTGTACTGAAGCTTCAACTGCTTATCACTCAGATTCTGAAAGATTAGGAACAATATGACAGTCAGCTTTGTGGATGATCAATGCTTGAGGAAACATATTATACATTTCTTTTTGTATATGGGACCCATGGTTTTCTCAAGTAGCCAGAAATAAACAGTAACTAAAGGACTGACAAAATTGCAATTGACATTAACAATTTTAGAATAAATGTGTCCTTACAGTTCCATATATAACATCCATATGCGAATAAAATGAGGTGAATGAATAAACACTTGTTGCAAAGTTACTCCCAAGATCTGTTACGAATAATGGCATCCTCCAGAAGAAACAAGATACTGACTGGTAAGATATCAAAAGTACAACTGGCTAACTTGTCAACATTTAAATAGTCAACATTTATTTAACAATCAATTATTCGGAAGCATGTACTTAATATTAAAGAAAAAATACTGAAAAGTACACCTTACCCTCTTTGCTGGTAGATATGCCATTTCCCCCAACATATGTCCCTTTAGTGAGACCATCACATAGTCATCTCTTATCAGGTGCACCTCAGACTTCACACGCTGTCCAAGCTTCATCTAAATTAATATCATAAATGAACACATGGATTATATAGTATGGTGACGGCTGCTCCTGTAAAGATATATCAAAATTAGAATTCACTATTTATAGTAGATTATTATGCTTATTATGATGGCGTTTTTAAAAGACATTGCATTCTATTTAGAATGTTGGTAAAAACAGATTACTCACTGTTAACTAGCAGAAGCAGTTCTCTGGTTTTTCTCAGAGTAACAGGGAGGGGGTGGGGGTGTCATTTCAAGTTAGAGTCATTCCATAAACACATCTTGCTAAATGAGTCTGATTCATATTGATCCAAAAAGGATAACAGATAGCCTACACATTTTGATATGTGATTATTCAAAATGAACTTTCTAATGACAGTATAGCTTCAAGTTGTATTAATCTCACAACTTCTTATTTTCTTTTCATGGGGGTTGAGTTGGTTTATTGATACTTCTACAGCTAAGGTTCCTTGTGGTTTTCAAAGACTTTTATCATGTGTTTTGATTCTGACTGACCCAAAATATGAAAACAATATTTCATTATATTAAAATCTTTATTCATATAAACTCTCTACCACTATAACTAATAATGGAGGTACATTTTTTATTTGTCTCTCTGTGTATTCAAAATGAATGGTCAAAATGCCAATTCAACTTTGTAAGAGCAGAAATATATTTCTTATTGTTATAAAAAGGTTGTTTACATACATGTATGTAGCTCAGAATAGTGCCATGGAGTACTGGACTACTAGAGGTGTCACAAAACACAGAACAAAAATTAAGAATCTCGGTTTGGTTCCTGAACCAAAAAATCCTACCCTTCCCCATCGTGTGGCACTTAAATCGCCACAAAACAGCATTTTGCACCAAAAGAAGTTCATTCTTTTCACTCCTTCTAATTGAAGAGTTTTGAAGAGCTTTTCGCAACCAAATAGACCTAGACTATCAACTTATATTAATCTTATACATGCAGTCACTGTTCCGAACTGTTCCGAAATTGTTCCATTCAAAAGCAAAATGTTCCGAACCGAACTGTCCGATTTTTGTTGTTGTTCCGTGACATCTCTATGGACTACAGTTCCCCTTCATAGTCTGATGTGAAATAAAAATCAGATTATGAATATTATGCACAATTTATGGATATGCATTACTTGTGGTCCAGCACTCAAAGGGCAAAGTTTCTACATATTGTATTTTAGCTGATAAGCTAGATATAATTGACACCTATGAATTAAATAGACAAAAACTGAATAAAATGTTTTTGCAATTCTTACACTACTGTGACTCAACTCAACAATTAAGTAGATTAACATATAGACATTGTGAATGAAGATAAATACACAGTCATTTTCAAAGGAAGTTATACACACTTAAACCATGGCCCCTTACTTCACAAATACGCAGTCATTTTCAAAGGAAGTTATACACACTTAAACCATGGCCCCTTACTTCACAAATACGCAGTCATTTTCAAAGGAAGTTATACACACTTTAACCATGGCCCCTTACTTCACAAATACGCAGTCATTTTCAAAGGAAGTTATACACACTTTAACCATGGCCCCTTACTTCACAAATACACAGTCATTTTCAAAGGAAGTTATACACACTTAAACCATGGCCCCTTACTTCACAAATACGCAGTCATTTTCAAAGGAAGTTATACACACTTTAACCATGGCCCCTTACTTCACAAATACACAGTCATTTTCAAAGGAAGTTATACACACTTAAACCATGGCCCCTTACTTCACATATACACAGTCATTTTCAAAGGAAGTTATACACACTTAAACCATGGCCCCTTACTTCACAAATACACAGTCATTTTCAAAGGAAGTTATACACACTTAAACCATGGCCCCTTACTTCATAAAAGCATAAGAATAATGATTTCAGCTCTAGGCCTTATAAATCATTTGAAATCAACTTTTGAAAGAAGTCATTTTTAGGTTCACCTAAATATTAATTTTGGATAGCTAAATGCAATGATTGCCTAATAATAATAATTGCTGCACTTTGCAGTATATTAACAAAATACAAATATATAAATTCAATCAATTTCATTTAATTAAACAAAATCAATAAGATCTTCTTTTTACATTATTTTTTTAATGAAAAAGTTAAATTCATTTATATGTGCTCAATCTTCAGGCTAAAGTGTGTATATCTTCCTGAACTGGTTCTGTCCTGTATGTAGAAAGATAAAAACTAAATAAACTGACTTTGATTAAAACTTTAAAGACAAATTAACACATACATGTATTAAGGGACTCCTAGTCCTTGCTAATGAATTTTAATTTTAATGAATTGCACTTAATATAAGTTGATCTTTAAGGAAAACTCTTTAACAATCGAATGTATATTCCCATATTCTTAAAAGAATAAAGATTACCTTGCTATTGACAAAATAAATATATATGTCTCCGTTAATTTCTGAAAAATACAATAATACAAAAATACATTGTATATTATCATATATTGTATATTATCATATATATATCATCGTATATTATTATACATGTTCATTATTACATACATCTAAGTATACACATGGACTTTTTTAGTCACTCTATTTGTGAAAAAATACTTCAGTCTTCAGCAGTCTACATGTATATATAAGCCTATTATACAAAATGCAGTGAAATACTTTTGATAAATGATACTAGTATGTACAAGCATATTTACAATATTAATATTTAAACTACTGTTAAATTACCCAGTTTGATATTGTACACTTCAATGTGTTTTTCATGTGTTATATGTTAGGGCAATATAATGCTTTATAAAAATAAAAAGCAGTGAATAAATCAATGATGTATGTAAAATATGTCCAATAAGCACCATCTCTTAATCACATGTCATATAATTGGTATGCCATTTGTGTGAGTCTAGTTATCAGATGATATATACAGGGTAGGCCAATAAAAATTGGAACATTTTTCTGTTTATATTTATCCAATTGTCTTTATTTTTGCAGTTCAATCCATGAAAATTCATTGTATCGCCACATATGACTGAGAACTGCCATTTCTGTTTTGTACATTTCTTATCTTTATTGGCTAGAATTGTCTATGGTTCTAACCAGGATAAAGACAGGATATGACATCTAAAGAGTCAATAAAAGATATATATGTGGTTACTTGGATTTGCAATGGATAGTTCAACTCTTTCATTGCATCTTTTATTGTACATGTATATCATATATCATACGTTATACATGATAAACATACAAGTCTAAATTGATTTTTGATTGTTCAATTTATATACAGTACATTCCTTCCAGAGACATTGAATAGAGAGAAAGAAGGTTTCCTTTCTCAGTGTAGATTTAGTCATTGCATTCCTCTTTGTAAGCCTGAAGAGATGAACAACAGCATATGACTGAGAACTGCCATTTAATACCCTTTTTATCCTTGTTTTTTGTACTCACTAAAGCTTGCAACAGAGATTTCAACTCCTCTACAGCAAGATAATTGTTTTTCTGGAGTCTTCCATTGAATCTATATGTTGTACAAATGTCCATGCCTGGTGTATATGGAACAATTGCACCAATTCCATCATCGATATCATGTCCAATGATGTAGTGTTTCTTTAGAAAATCTTTCACAGTTTCTAAATCTCTTCCTATTTTTCTGCACTTTTCAAATGCATCTTTGGATCTATGGGCAAGACGATTCATTTGTTCAACATTTCCCACTCGAGCCTGTTGTAGTGCCCTCACAAAAGCAATTACACCAAGCATGAAAAATGCTTTATGGTCACGTTTGTGGTACTTTGACCAATCTTGAGCAACAATTTCCAAATACTTCAGATCAACAGGTAAGTCTGCCTTTGGAAACTTATTTTTGGTATGTATTGCTACCTCAATGATTCCTCTATAATTTGAACGCATTTTCGTGCTCTGATCTCCGGGAGTATCAAAGTGCACCTTAAGATTCTGTAGCAGAGTTAAAAGCTGCTCTTTTCTCATTGTTTTAGCCCAAACTATTTCAAAAATTGGGCACGGAATCTCCTTTGGAAGTTTTTCAACCATTTCAAGCTTCATTACAGTTGACTTTAATTTCTGATTTCTACCAACTCTACACATCAACAAATTGAAGCGAATGTCATATATCTGGTTCTCTACCGGTGGCTTTTCATCCCACTCACTTACTATATACTGATCCATTATCAATTCAAGAGTCTCCAACTTTCTCAGGGACCTGATTTCATGGTCACTGTAGCACTTGTCTGATTTCAATTTCTGGTTGTATGTGTCATGGTTTTTATCACACGCATTGTTAAAAAGTAGATGAAGTACTCGCTCTCTCGTTTTAGCTTCCCCTATGAAAGAATGACTGGATTTATATTTTTTGTTTTTGTTAACCTTGTCTTGTGCCCTTTGGAATGCTTCAATAGCTTCATTTGCATCCTTATTTATTCCATCCATCCCTTCTTGAGGTCTTATTTTTGAAATATCGTGTTTGTATAATGTTTCCTTCAGGAGATTGCCATAGGTTGTGAACAGGGTGCTATCAACCTCATCTATGTCACTTATGGTTTGATTTTCTTTCATTTTCAGGGCCTCTCTTATCTGGTGCAGTGCTCCATCACTATCGTTGACTTCATGCATGAGGTATCTCGCATACAATGCTCGCAAATGAGATGAATTGTATTTGTTCACAATCTTCTCAATTTGTAATGCAGTATTAGCTGGAGTTGACTTATTGTGAAAATCAAGAATGAGCTTTGAAAAAAAATCTTTTTTGCTTTCTCGGTATTTGTGAAATAGCTGACGTCTCAACCCCTCTGGTATCTCCTCTTCCTCAATTTCTAAAAACTCATCAAGCAAAGCATGAATTTTTTCAAGATCAGTTTTCCTTGGGTACATTTGTTCCATGACTTTATCAAAGATTATATCATGTGCTGGTTTAAGTCCAGGGGTATTCAGAGAAGCTGATGCATTACAATGTACTAGTATAGTTTCGCCAATGAGACCCATTCCATCATGTACCTTTTGGTAAAATTCC